GGCGTCAGTCCAGAGCTCAGTTCCCGACGACGGGTACACCCGCAACTTCACCTCGGCGCTGGCTATGGAGTTCGAAATGGAGGCATTTGACAGCCATGCAGTCCGACCCGTACAGCAGTCCTGGTTCCGCGTAGTGCCCGACATTCCCCTGTCCATCTACACGACATACAATGGCACTCTGCGCCTCTGCTTCCGGCCTCAGCAGTTCCATCGCGAGGACATTCAGATGCTTGCCGACCACTTCCGCCATGCCCTGAGTCTGCTCCTGTCCGAGCAGACCATGGAGGGATGCATGAAGAACATCCTGACCGACAACTGCAAGAACACCCTCATGCAGATGGGCAACTGTCAGACCGACTCGACGTCCCTGTGCTCCATCCACGACGACCTCGTCACGCTCTTCGAACGCGCTGTCCGCGAGACTCCCAACGGCATCGCCGTGGAAAAGGCTGGCATCCAACTGACTTACGCCGAGATGGATCGACAGGCCAGCATCCTTGCTAAAAACCTGCAGATCCAGCCCGGCGAGGTCGTCTGCGTCTTGGCCGACCGATCCATCAACTGGATCGTCTCCATCTATGGTATCCTCAAGGCTGGCGGTGTCTACTCGGCCCAGGACCCCGGTCTGCCCGACCACATCCGCAACACCAACTTCCAGACTGCCGGTGGGAAGCTGTACTTGACTCCAGCCACCTCCCAGAAGCATCTTGCTCCCAAGGCCTGCAACCTGTGCTTTTCTGTAGAGGAACTGATCGCTACTATCCCGGATAACTTCACGCCTAGCCACCGCTCCGCTCCTCAGCCCGAAGACAACGCCTACCTGTGCTTCACCTCCGGCTCGACTGGCAAGCCCAAGGGAGTGATGTGCCACCACGCCGGTCTCGTGGCCTTCCAGAAAGATCTCGAGGTTCGACTCTTCGCCGCTCCCGGCCAGCGCATCTCGCAGCTCATGTCGCCTGCCTTTGACGGCAGTATCCACGAGATATTCTCGGCTCTCTGCTACGGCGCTACCCTGGTGCTGGCTGATGGCGCCGACACCTTTGCCCATCTGAAGAAGAGCAACGCCGCCATTCTGACCCCCTCCGTGGCCAAGATCCTCCTGCCCGAGCAATTTCCTGAGCTGCGCACCGTCTACCTGGTCGGTGAACCCGTGCCACAGTACGTCAACGACGTCTGGTCCAGCGCCACCACTCTCTACAACATGTACGGCCCAACCGAAGCCACCTGCGGTGCCACCATCCAGCGGCTGCTCCCTGGACAGCCCGTCACCATTGGTGGACCTAATGCCACTACGCGTATTTACATTCTCGGCCAGAACGGGCAGCTTCTCCCTCCCGGGGTGATCGGGGAGATTTACTGCGCCGGTGTGCAAGTAGCTAATGGCTATATTGGTCGTCCCGAGTTGAACGCGGAGCGGTTCCTCTCCGACAACATTGTTGCACGCCCAGGCGAGAAAATGTACCGCACCGGAGACCGCGGCTACTTCAACCGCCTCGGCCAGGTCGAGTGTCTCGGTCGCAACGATCGTCAGATCAAGCTGCGTGGTTACCGCACGGACTTGAACGACCTGGAGATCCGCGTCGCCAATGCCATTCCTGAGTCCACCGCCGTCGCTATCTGCCCCAAGGATGATTACCTCGTTGCCATGATCCAGCCCGAGACGCTCACTGTCACTGATGTCCGCCAGCGCATGTCGCAGGTGCTGCCGGTGCACGCCATGCCCCGTCGCATCATGGTCGTGGACAAGTTCCCCATGACGCCTGCCGGCAAGCTTGACTACAAGGAGATTGCGAATCAGTGCACGGTGGTGGCTCAACCCGCAGCCAAACGCACCCTCTCCAGCAAGACTGAGCACTCCCTTGCCGAACTGTGGAAGGACCTGCTCTCGCTGGGCGCAGACAGCGAAGCCCTCACCCCGGAATCCAACTTTGTCGAGCTGGGCGGCCACTCGGTCATGCAGCTGCGTCTTGCCAGCAAGGTCTCCCAGGCCTTTGGGGTCAAGGTGCCTGTTCCGCGCATCATCCAAGCCGCGAACCTCTCCGAACTAGCTCAGACGGTGGACGGCCTCGTCGCCCAGATCTCATCCCCGGATGTACCGACCATTAAGCCCCTCGGTCGCAACCGCGTGTCTCCCATTGAGCGAGAATGGCTGGAGAAGTACCGGCTTCAGCTCGGCACGTCTGCTTTCAACGTCACTTTTGCCTGCAAGATCGACAGCACCAAGGTGGATAGCGAGCATCTCATCGCCTGCTGGAACGCTGTTCTCGCCCGCCACGACATCTTCCGCAGTCGCTCCCACCTCGATTACCGCGGCAAGGGACCCCGACGCACCTATGCTCGCTACTGCCCGCAGGTGATGCGCGTCCACGGCTTCAACCTCTGGCGCGAAGCCAACAGACCCTTCCACCCTGACCGCCAGCACCCGATCCGAGTGATTGTCTCTAAGTCCATGATGTTGGTGGCCATGAGCCATCTCATCGCTGACCTCACCACTCTGCAGGTGATCCTGGGTGAAGTGGTCCGTCTGTATCGTGGTGATGGCCTCGGCCCCGTGAAGCGGAACTACCATGAAACAACGCAGTGGAGTTCCCAAGCCACTGCCAACGAGCGCGAGTGGTGGGTGCAGTATCTGGGCAACACTACCATTCAAAGGGACGGCCTATACAGCATTCCCAACTTAACCCACCGCTCCAGTTACGGCGGCCAGACGCACCTCGTCCGACTGAATCAGAGCCTCGCCACACAGGCCATTCAATACACCGAGACGAACAGCGTCACGTTGCACCAGCTAGCACTGGCCTCTGTGGCGCTAGCCTTGCAAGCTCATCGCGACGACACGGATCTTGTCCTGGGTGGACCGTACTTCAACAGAGGACAGGACGATCTCGACACGGTCGGATTGTTTCTAGAACCCATCCCCATTCGTATTCAGTTCTCGGCATCGCGGGATCCGACCGCAGCCTCCACCAAGTCTTTTGTTCGTGCTGTGCAACGGTCCAGCCAGTCAGCCATTGCGCATGCCATTCCATGGAACCAGCTGCTCGAGGCGGTGGGTGCTGCCGAGATGGCTGATTTCCCTAACCATCCCTTGTTGGATGTCATGGTTACTTTCCATGATGATCGCACGTCGCCGAAATTGCCGGTCGAAGGACTCGATCCGCTGGTCACGTATACCAAGGGGTCGAAGTTTGCGCTGTTGGTGGAGTTTTGTGCGATTTCTGATCGGACTATTCTGATGCGGCTGGAGCATGATACGGAGTGTATCTCCAAGGAGACGATTCAGGGTGTTGAGAAGTTGATTTTGGAGGCGCTGGGCATGATTGTGTCGGGACAGGGGTATAGTGCTATTAAGGAGAAGATGAGAGGGATGGTGGGCAGTGCTGATAGACAGACCCAGAAGACGGAGAGGTACTTTGGCAAGAGACTGACTGAGTTGAGGAGCGAATAGCTGGTTGTCTTTGGCATGTGTCTAGATTTTTCTGTGTTTATAGATTGGCTTTGGGTACGGAGTTCTGGATAATAGAATGTCACTGATTACTACTATAATCACTTGCCTGCTATAGTGAAAAGTATACACGATGTAGCAGTGAGTAGTGCTCTGAAATAAAGGCAATCGCTCAGAATATGCTGAGTCAATGATTATCGTTGATTGTATTCGAAGGAACAAGTTACATCCGGATCTGACATAGCCAAATGCTCCTTCCAACCATACTATCATTCATGAATTGGTATTCCATCGCATACACATACAGCAGGCCGCTCCACGTCGAACAGAATCATCCCCAATGTAGTGTCTAAGCAACATCCCGCACATTCGCAAACGTATACCCACTACTCGTCACCCCCTCCGGCACCCAATACAGCTGCCACACCGTCGAGACATTGGTGTCCTTGACATAGAACGTATCGAACAACTCTCCAGAGTCAGATTCATACATGATCCAGGCCCCATACCAGATCCACTTGTCGGTCACTGCATCCGACGGAGTGTCATCTCCCGTGAAGCCAACCTCGGTGACTTCGTCGGCATTCGGGCGGATGTATAGCAGAGTGTCATCGGAAAGAGTAATTCCCTCGCTGAGAGATTCGGCGAAGACTTCATCGTCGCTGTAGGTCACTGCATGGAGTTAGTGCTGACACAGGTCTTGGGAAGGTGGAGGGGTACACTAACTGGTGATGTCAGTTACGACAGAGCCATAGGTCCAGTCGGAGGCGGTGCCGAAGTAGGCCAGTCCTGGAAGTATTATGGTTAGTGATGAGAAGAATTATCTAACATAGGAAGACTTACCATCAGCGTAGAACAACTTGACGGGTTCAGAGGCAAGTCCATAGGCGTAGAGGGTGAAGTTGCCATCCGGACTGCGCTTGACCAGATCTCCCAGTGGACGGAGAGGGTTGGCAGCCACAGTGCCGATGGCAGCTAGGGCGGAGAGAATAGTAGTGGTGAATGGTGCCTTCATTGTTGCTAACGGTATATTTGAGTAAGCGTTGATGAGGAATGTTGCGTGTTGCGATCTGTTTATATAGGCGATTGTTCAACTGGCAGGCGAGCAGCTCACTCAGGTGGACAGTTCTTCTTCCGCAGCTTTGAACCTCCGTGATAATGCTTGGTATGGGCTAGCGATCCTGTGACGCGTCATCACAACGGAGTTGGATGCAAGAACGCCGTAGTGGAGGAGCCAAGGACCCTAGACTTTAGCCTCATATCCACCCATCATGATTTTCTTCTTCTACTAATCAGCCACGGCAGGCTAAATCAAGGCTAGAAGAGCCTAAGCCAGTTTAGCTTCTGCAGGATAGCTTCCTGACGAATGAGTCAGTTCTTTTTTCGGCTTGAAGGAATGAAGGATCCGAGCTTGACATTGAAGCGAGCTTTGTCATGATTACTATATGGATATGCAGTAGATACTCTGGAGTATGATGTAGGTATCCCACGCGCTAGATCAGTTATGCCGGGACGCTCTAGTCACAACAGTCTTCACACTAGATCGGAGCCAAGATTCAGCAGTCTGGAAACCTCGCCCTAAAAGCGCGCATACATGACCACCCAGACACACATTTGACTGCGCCCAGATAATCTGCCGGAGAACCTCCATCATCCAACCCCTCTCTCGTCTTTGCCAATGATTGCTTAATCCGCGACCGTCGATCGTTGAGGTCTTGCAGCATGCGACCAGGTGCAAATTCATCGTCATCGGATGGACTAGGCGCGGTATCTCGATCCAGGCTGACGGCGGGATCGGCCAGCAAGTCCAGACGCAGTGCCTCCTCCGCCAGGGCGAGGATCCAATTGGAGTCAAATGGCCCCTCTCGATGCGGCCAAGCACGCAGCAGCTTAATGGCCCGCCACCGAACGCGATAGTCCTGACACACCAAGGCCCCATTGTACAATGGCGGAAGGACACCCACATCAATACTGATGGTGGGACGCTCAGGGAACCGGGTCATGATTGACTCGGCCAAGGAAACAACTTTCTCGATGGCAGGCGTGACAGCAGCCAGGGCAGCTGGATTGTCCGCCAGGGGGATTGTTTCCAGCGACACCATCAGGCCGAGGTATTGTAGATGAATCAGTTCGACACTCCGCTGCTCTTTGTGATTGAGAAGATGGTAAGAGTTGTGGTAGAAGGGCTCGAAGGATCGCCAAAATCGGGAGGCCAGGGAGCGGACCCGCAGCTGCGTCGACTGGATGGTGGCGTAGTTGCGTTTGATGTCTCCCAGCAATATTTCCTCACCCGAGATCATAAAGCGATACCCAGCACTGGTGACCAGGTTGAAGGCCGTGCGAGCTTCCTCCAGATTGGCAAAGGCGACCGCTGATGTCGGCTGCGACTGCCACTGGGTGGGCAAAGAGTCGATGCACAGCAGAGGCCCCCCGAGGCCATAGTGGGCGGTACTCATGTCCAGCTGGGCAAAAGCAGCCACCAGACAATGTTCCACCAGTTCTTGGCGGGGCGTAGGCGCCACCAATTCTCGCGCTGCCTGGAGCTCGCAGAGGATGCGCAGGCCACTCTGGAGATGGGTAAAGGCATCGTCGTAGTCGCCCTGCAGCAGGTCGGAGAGAACGAACAACAAACAGCAGAGGAGGGTCACATTGCGCAACCAGGGATCCGAAGAGGCACGGCGCCGGGTGAGGCTCTGAAAAGCGCGGCCCAGCTGCTCTTGCGCAAAGCGCAGCCAGGGGCCCTGACTCCTTCCGGGGAAGTTGGCAGCCAAGGGCATTCCTCTGCTCTCCGCGTCTTGGTGGATCGCGCTGAGGGCCACGGTCGCATGGTACACCGCTGGCTCCGACTGACCTATCTGCAGGACGAGATGCTGCCAGAGCGAGGAGTCGAACATTTCGCGGAAGGTGGGCACCGTGTGGTGCTGAAAGTAGGAGAAACAGCGGCTCTCGTCGGAGGTAATGACCCATTGAAAGCCACTCCTCAACTCAGGGCTGATCTTGGTCCATGGATCCCTCATCAAGGGCAGTCTTTGCACCTCGTAGCCATCGCAAACACGACCCGCGGAGGTACATCTCCGGCATGCGCCGGGGGTTTCATCACATTTCACGCGGCGAGCTCTGTTCCAAGTCAGTAGCGACAGGTGTGCACTTGGGTCTTTCTTGCACCTACCGACAAGTGCGGCATCCCGTTCTCGATCGTTTGCCGCCGAATCGACGGTTCATCGACCCCAGGCGGGATGGTGCCGGCGTGGAGAACTTGTTCATACTATCCATAGGAAGGGGGGTGGGGGGAGGGGAAGGCGCAACGGTGGTTGTCATTTCCGAATCCTGGCCATACGCGAGAAGAGGCGAAAAAGGCGAGTGACTCCCAGAAAGACTAAAATAAGCGGGAACAGAATGGCTGACGGGTCTGGTCGGCACCGCCCTGTCTCTGGGTTGTGATTTATTGACCTTTGGGCAGCTGCCAATTAGTGCGGCCACTAATGCATCCCAGCAGGCTCGAAGGAGGGCTAGTCCCCGTCTAGTCTCTTCATCGGGCGTTGAGGGGACTCAGGAGAAGCAGTGGAAAAACGGCTGGAGTGCACATCTTACATTTACGGAAGAAGACGGGCTAACTCAAAAGAGTCATGGAAAGTGGAGAGGAAAGATGCATGAATTTTAAGACTTTCTCTGCACCGATAATCCCGTACCTGCCGATCACAGGCCGTCAGGCTGGTTATACATATCGTCGTGCTCCTTCTCGCGACCCTCCAAGCGTGTCAACTGCAGCCGCTTGCTGGCCGACCGCAAGACGCCGTCACGCGCGTCAACCAACGGTCGCACCCATTTCTCAACCACTTCGGGATTTTTCTCTTTGTTGTCATCAGCGGCCTGCACGGGAAACCAGGTATCGGCGATGCCGGTCGGAAACCCGTTAATGTAGATATTCTCCCACTGCCCGCGGGGCACCAGGTAGGTTTCATGATAAATGGCCAGGTGTGGATGGTCTTTGGCGATGCGAGACCACCAGCGCACCCCTTCCATGTGGATGTCATCGTGAGCGAATTGATGAAGAGCAGCGTAATCGCGGAGGTAGAAGACGGTCATGGTCTCGTTACCCGCTGGACTGTCGGTCTTCAACCAGTGCGAGGTGCCCAGCAGACCGTACTTGACGGGGTTGGCGCGCATGTTTCGACTCATCTTATCAGCACTTTCGCCCAACTCCTTCATGCCTGGGGCGAGCATCCCGAGTGGATGGTGGCAGCGCGCCCCCAGATGGAAGACCACGATTGACTCGCCCGCCGGTTCACTGCCAAAGGTGCCATCGGGCCGGGGATACTGGGCACTGCGCTTGATAGGGATGGATCCGGTCATGTACCGGTTGGGGGTTATGTGGCAGGCCATCAACAGATGGTCGATGAACCGGTACAGCAGGATGGCCGCGGTCGGAAGCAGGGAGAGGGGGCCCAACAGTAGACACGCACCCCCTTGCATCAGCCCACCCAGCAGGAGCCAGGAGGAGAGGGTGAGATTGTCCCGGACCATGGGGGAGATGGAGCTCGTGGTCTCCGGGAAGGGAGTCGGGCCATCGCCACGGTCGCGCGGGACGATTTGGGGTGGGAAGAGCGGTTTGAAGGTGGCCATGGCTGGATGATGAGCAAATGGGTGTTATCTGGGAAGTGCCCGAAGTACCATGTGGCTCGGGGTGGTTTTATAGGGTACCGAAATGCTGGTCAGATGGCATCGGGCACTGCCCTCCTTCGCTGACCTGTTCCAGTTGTAGCATTGATTGCTGGTGGCTGTGGTTCCCTCCCCCACAGGAGCATACGAAGGGACGAATGATAGGCGCGCAAGCGTAAGCAATGCTCCGGGCGTCAGTGAATGGATCCACCCCAGGATCATGGTGAGATACCAGTAGTATTCCCTTGTCTGCTTACGCACAGGCTTGTTTGTTGTTCTCGTGTTCGGAACGGCAGGTCACTAAGCGCAAACGAGCGGGCCATGATGCATCGCTGGGAATGACCAAAGTAAATAACAATGCGGCCCTCTGGAAGAGGAAAGGGGATGATGAAAGGTGAAGAAGAGCATGACGATGCGATCTCACGGGGAACCAGTTACACTGCAGAAGAAGGGAAGGAATGGAATGCAGAAACTGATCGGGGAATCCAGATATTGGGGATACAGGTGGTGCTGAACAGAAGGTTATTTGTGATCGTCTCAAATCAGAAGAAATCCCTGAATGCCCATTACCATGCATTGTGCAACCGCTGGTCTACCTTTGGGCGGGCTACTTGCACGTCTGTACAAGACTAAGAGTTACCAGTCAGTTATTCATCCCCCGGTGGATCCTCTGCCGATCCTCTGCATGCCCGTGAATCATACACTGCGTTCTAGACTGGTACTAAGTCGACCTAAAAATATAGGGTAGACTACTACTGCTGTTGAGGTACCTTTGAAGGGAAGACACATGGCTGTTCTATAGAGACACTCTTGAGTAAATGAATGAAATGGATACCAAAACAACGCCCGATCATGTGCCTCGGATAATTATTTCTCCCTTATTGCCTGAGGCATCAGTTACCCAGGTGAAGCCAAGAAGACGGAGGATATACTGGGTATGAATCTACACCGCTCAACAAGGGGCGATCGATATCGATAGTCTGACGAAAAGGCTCATCCCAAAGCTCCTGCATGTCTGGACTGCAAAAATCGATCCCAGTAAGTGCTATGAGAGCCATCAGGAAGCTCTCATGGATCCGAGAATGTCATTTTCTTTCGAGGAACTCAGCCCACGACTGAAGGTGAAGCCCCGGAATCTGCATTAGATTGATCAGTTAGTCATGAGAAACGTCAATGCACCACAGACTTTACGCACCTCTCTGGCCTGGATGAATTCTGATGCCTCACACACGTTTCCGAATTTTTCGAACATCAGAAGCTGCTCGGTATAATCCAAGGCAATCTCAGGAGATAGACCTTGACTCTCCAGCTTCTTTCGATGCTCATCGGGACTTATTACATGGTACATTGTCTGTAAGCCGTATTCTGATATATGCAACGTAAGCCAAATCGGTCATACTAAGCCAAATACACAATTGGGTAGTTATAGTTACTTTTGCCAATCATAGCTTGTTTCTCCGCCTCCGAGATGGCTTCACTATAGAAGGCCACGGTCTTTGTAAAGTAAGTAGCCTCAGCTTCCAGGATCACTCGAACAAGCTTGCCTGTATCGCGAATTGATCCGTTCGGCATGGCAGTGGACGGGCTATGCGGCAAGTACATATGATACACGCCCTGCGCATCCTAGTATCATCTCGTAAGCTTTTGATCCGAAGAGCCATGTATGCGGTAGATCAGATAAACAAGTGGACCAACAGGTTGTGAGAGGTAGCGTTCGGGATGAGACAGGCAGTTCTCGAAATAATTGGGGAAGAGCACGACAGTAGTCTTGCCCCACAACTGTGGGTACTGCTGCTGTATGTAGTCTGCAACTACACTCTTGCTCTTCCAGTGATGAATGTTTCTCAGTATGCCCCCGGATACCTTCTCGGGATCTGGGAGCGAGCTCCAAATGAAATGCCGAATGGTCGAGGTTCGAGCTGCAGCATCTACAATGCTTCGTCCCTGGATAGTCTCCTTCTGTGCTGATCGTGTTGCCCAAAAGTCTGTCATAGCAAAGACGGCATCGGCGCCCGTAAATGCTCGAAGAAGGCTTTCAATGCCTGCATTGAGATCAAACGCCTGAACTTCTGCCCCAAGCCTTGCCAGCTCTTGCGCTGCTGGCTTAGTCGGATCGCGCGTCAAAGCCCTGACGTAGTACAGATGCGGGTTTTTCAAGAGCTCCCTAGCGACCGGGCCGCCCTGGAATATTCATTAGAGGCTGGGTAGAGCAGACTGTATTCATGGATGGAAGCTGAACATGAGACGCACCTGCGATCCAGTAGCGCCGATAACTACAACTGTGAGACGAGACATAGCGACGATGCTGATAATGGAAACGCCTCAGCAGAACTGCCGCTGACGGATGTTTTGCAGAGTAATAGGCGGGGTTTAAAGGGACTCGCCTACCGTCTTCCTGTCAGTTATATACTACCAACCCAGCCTCAGCAGATTCCTCTATCTTATGTCCCGGCTATACGTATGCCATCGGTCTCGGCCCCAGATGAGACCGAGAGCCGAGAGCTGGAATTGAGCAAAATGCAGCCTAATCTAATGTATCTCTCACGTAGCTGGAATGGTGGGGCCGAATACGAAGTGAGCGAGTTTAAGCATTTTTGGACCGCCGCAGCGGTGCCCAACCCAGACACATCAGCTTAAACAAAGAAGGGGGTTTTTTTTTTTTTATCTTTCTATCTTGTCAATATAACGGACACCATCATGATATAGTGTCCCTGACAGGGTAGCTTGCCTTATAAGATTGGAATTTCCTTTTTGTGTATGGGGTTAACAAAGGCCGACGGAGAGCAGGATGGATCGCACTGTCCAGTATCTGGTCTTCTGGATTTTTTTTTCAAAGCTTGTCTGCTCTTCTGTGTCATATAACTTGCTTGATACACGGCACCCTACCATTATGAAACGTGTTTAAATACTCTAGCGTTCACCAATATGCTGGATTGCTACTATTACTGGTGACAATCCTTGCTTGTGCGACAGCCAACCAGGCAGCCGCTATAGCCGCCCAGAGCCAGCCGCGAAGTCGTCGTTATACGCTATAAATAGCCTCCAACGCGTCCATTGACCATCCTTTTGTTGATCTTCGCGTCGTCAAATGGTGCCTGCTTCCTGTTTCCAGAGTCGGTCGATTGCTTAGAGACGCAACACCGTTCAGCATGGCGAGCACGAACGTCCTCACGGTTTTGCTCAAGTATGCCTCGCTTTCGGTCACCATTGCTGTGGCCTTATACGCGACGCTATTGGGCCTCCTGACTACGGAAACCGTTCAATCTCATGTGGTGTACTTACACGCCATCCAACTGACATGGTTGAAGGATCTGAATGTCCCGGAGAGCTTTGGCTTCCTGCGAAACCAAGTCACCCCTTTCACGATCGCCACTCCTGACGGCGAGCAGCTGTACGCCTGGCACATCCTGCCTGTAGAATTGTACCGCCAAAATGAGCAACTTCTGGTCGCAGAGCCCGCGGAATTCGTCTCCAATATTAGTGACCGGCTCTCTTTCCAACTCCTGCGGGACGATCCCGATGCGCGCTTGGTTCTGCACATGCATGGTGCGGGAGGCACTGTGGGATTAGGGTACCGCGTGTCCAATTACCGGGCGCTGTCCGCTGGCCAGCCGGAGAAAATTCATGTCCTGACCTTTGATTATCGAGGATTCGGGCGCAGCACCGGTAAGCCATCCGAGACGGGACTAATTACGGATGCCCGTGCGGTGGTTCACTGGGCCATGACGGTTGCTGGCATTCCTCCCTCCCGCATTGTCATATTCGGCCAGTCCATGGGGACCGCTGTAAGCATCGCGATCACCCGCGACCTCGCCGTCAAATCAAACCCCGTGTCCTTTGCTGGAGTTATCCTGGTGGCCCCTTTCGTCGATGTCTCCACTTTGGTTGCGACTTATCGGATAGCAGGCCTCATTCCCATCCTGTCCCCCCTTCTGCGCTTCCCCTGGCTCTTTACATCTCTCCAAAGCTTCATCCGGGACAAATGGGCAAGCAATGATCGTATTGCTGACTACGTGCGCTTCAACGAAGTCAATGGAGAGAGGTACCACATTACCATAATTCATGCAGAAGACGACTACGACATCCCCTGGCACCACACCCAAGCCCTATTCTCCCATGCAGTCCGCAATTCTGTACCTGGAGGTATCGACAACGAAGAAGTCGAGCAAAGAAAGCAAGACCTCCAGGTAGATCTTGGTGCGGCTGGAACCGCCATAGAATGGACGACCCAGCATGGGGTCATTCGGCAGCAAATCCTGAAGACTGGCTTGCATGATGCTATCATGGGATATCCTGTTATTACCATGGCAGTTATGCGTGCTTTTGACGCAGCAGGTCCAGCCTTGACACGTCCACTGCCTGAGCAATGAACCAGCCTCCCCTAAAATGCTCTGTCACACAATTAGATTATAGCAACCATGTGTCCCTTCCAACCCGAAACAAGGCTCGTACTGAGAAAGACAATCATATTGTGAAAAAATTGTACAGGCGTCCTATTTGTGGATACCGTAGCCATAACCTCCGCCTTATTCTGACATATCGAGAAATATGATCCATACCTTCCACATGGGAACGCGGCTGGGTTCTGTCCCAGCAAGGCATGGCCAATGTGGGTTCCATAGTGGACCGCTAACCTTATTCTTGTAACCATCCCCTACATAAACCCCTGTATCTGGCATAATATGGCCTTTTCATCAAGCGCCTCCGGGTTCTCTGGTTATAATCATGCATATAGACCAGGGAACTACCCGCCAACCGTGGGTCCTGTCTGGTCGCGATCGAGTTCAACAGCCAATTTGATAGGTCTAAACTAAGCAACACTAAAATGGAAACGAAAAGCCACTATGGGATTGCCTGTCCTGCAAGACGGCCTTTACGATACGTTGGATATACAATCAAGCAGCTGACAGATTTGCAGAACTTGCCATTTCAGCTAGAACACCGTCAATCTTGAGCTGCTTTTAGACCACAGCAGTGGATGGCTCTCGGCTACTTACTTGTTATGGCTGGCTAATACCACACTTCTGCGGACGCTTTGGTATCACAGCTGACAGCGGCAATCAGCGCCGTTGTAAACGGAATGCGGATGCACGTACTGTTGGGACTCTGACATGAAGAATATGAAATGTCTTTTAGCCGGGAATTGCTCGTAATTTCTGAAGCAATCCAGGATCTTCAGTCTCTTACAGCTGACTTTCACCCATGATGGGAGGAACTAGGACTGCAAACTTTTGGAAACTTGATTGATAGTAAGGTTTTCCACTTTTCATACCATGCAGTACACTATATAGTCAAAAGTATTGGGATACTCGAATTTTCCTGGAACGCTAACAACAATGACTTTCTACTTAGATATTAGAGATATAACTTTATAACTTTCAAAAGGAATAAATTACCATAACCTGTCTTATAAATGAACAAAAATCAAAGTACATCTATAACAAAAAGAGTAATAGATCATGGATTGAAATTTTTCTTAAATATTTCGATATATGTCGTGAATTCTTTTTCTTAGATTGCTAGGTAACGCCGAATTATTGATAATACTGCTTATCCATATTATTTTTGCATGGAGATGAAAATTACTTGTGGAGCGATCTTTCAGTAAATAAAATATACATAAAAAGTGTTAGTCAGGTTTTAAAGCGACTCAGCCTTGTACCCCTGGAAGGGATGATTTTCTTATGGCTTAGAATTCGTCCCGTGTGCCACTGTGAATGCCTGCTCGCTAGGTGATATGGACCATGCCTCGTTTTCCCCAACCACCTCCACCACCCCTCTCCTCTCTCAACCCTCTCCTCCCTCTTCCGCCACTCACTTCGATCCTCTAGTCCCTCTAGTGACGCCGGCGCTATCAAGCTCTGACTAATCTATCATTAGATAACATCTATTATGGGGGCGTTGGCCTTCATAAGGCGCGGATCCTCCAGCTAGACCCCGGCATGGTTGTCGTCTGGGGCCACTACATTATCATCATCCCGTTGATTTATTTCTCTGCCGTGGTGCCGACCTAACTGGCCATCGTGCACCTTTACCTTAATATTTTCACCAACAAACCCCTACGCATAACCTGCTTTGTGGTGCCAGCCATCATTCTTGGCAATTGGTTTGGTACGACCGTAGCGGGTTTCCTACCCTGCTAGCCGTTGAGCTACTTCCGGACTAAGGAGGGCCACTGCGTTGACACTAACGCCTTTTTTCGCTGGAGCGGATTGGCCACTATCTTGACGGACGGCCCTTGGACGGCTGCCAACTTCGTACTCTGGTGCGTCGTTGAGTCCGGGACGTATCAGATCGCCGCTTGGTTTCCCATATATCGCCCACTTGTTAAAACCATTGGAGGCATGCTATACATAGCGGCGACAGCCTCCGGAAAGAGTGGTGGAAGCGTCAGTCGAGAGGCTCCGGACCCCGCAGCCCGCCACTCGCGCACCCTGTAGGACAGCAAAGTAGCCGGGCACTTCCATTCGCTTAAAGGCGATGTGATGGTGGATAATGAAGGCCATGTGGGCCTGGTTACTTTGGGGTCACAGCGTTCCGATATTCCCGCGGGCTCCATTGTTGTACATCATAGATTTACTGTGTCCTAATTGGATGAGCTTGCCAACGGGGGGCCACCAGGATGTGGAGTAAGCTGGGGAGAAGCTGGAAAGGGGGATGTGAAACGGTGAAAGGCAGCTGTTGTCATGGTCCATCCGCATAGGCCAGGCGAGCTAATTTAGAAATTGATTTAATTGGTCTTAACATGATGTGCCAGAAAATCTTACTGCAGCGGCTGCCTGCACTAATGCTTGGCCTAGCGCGTAGTCCGACGGACCACCTCGAAAGTGGAAAGACTTTCGCCCACAACAAATGAGACCGCTGCATGTCTTTCGGCTAAATCAATGCTATACATACTAGGGCTGTTGACAGCAAACGGACATTCAACACCCCGAGCCTTGCCAGATCACTCAAGGCCCGTATTTCAGCGGCCTCCACTCCCCCTCCTGTCTTCTGTCCACTCCTACCCCCGGCAAGCCTTTCACTGGCACGGTCAATTCCGTGCTCTCACTTTGTTTCTTTCCCCCCCGCCTCCTCATTCGGTCTTATAAAGGCAGGATATGACATGCGTGAGCTGCAATAACATTATCATTATCATCAAGATTCTTTGTTGCTTCAATTGCCTTCACCACCACTTGCTTGCTCATCATGACTACTTGGGTTCCCTCCCCCGACTTTGATCCGCGCTCGGAGCTACTTCCGAACATCTTTGACCACTATGCCCAGGTCAAGCCAGACGCCATCTATGCGGAATACCCAGTGGACCCCATGACTTACGAGAAAGGGTACAGGCCGATCACCTACAAGGCCTTCGCCAACGCTATCAATGGCGTTGCTGGCTGGCTGACGAAGACCTTGGGCCCGGGAACAGGAGAGACTTTGGCGTACCTTGGACCGAATGACCTGCGATACCCGGCATTGGTATTGGGAGCAGTTAAGGCTGGATACTGTGTAGGATGGTCCTTTCATGTAGTGCGGTTTTCAGGGAGCCTTGCTGACATGGTTGCATTAACAGATGTTTCTTACCTCGCCGCGCAACAGTGCAGTGGCCCACCAGTCGCTATTTACCAAACTTGAGTGCACGACGCTGCTGGCTCCTTCACCACGGCCGCCATTTATCGCTGGAATTCTGGACGCCCACCCACTGAAGTTTGTTGATGTTCCCAGCGTGGCGGAGCTACTCGCGACCGAGTATCCGGTTTTTCCTTACGCCAAAACATACCCTGAAGCAGCACATGATCGATTGGCCATTCTGCACACATCGGGCTCGACGGGCATTCCCAAGCCTATCATCTGGACCCATGACAGCGCCGTCAAGCACATGCACATGCAAAGGCTCGATATACCCGACGGCTGCGAAGGCCAGGACAGTTGGGGCTTCGGCAAGCGCATGTATCTGTCTCTGCCTCCCTTCCATGTAAGCTTTTCACAATTGTAGCCCACTGCAGGTGCTGACTGCTACTATAGGCCGCTGGACTAGGGCACATTCTTTTCATTACCATGCCCGTTGATGTCACCTTGATAATGCCTACTGCTGCCGGTCTTCCCAGCGCCACTGGTTTGGTAGCGGCAAGGAAGCAGACCCCGTTTGAGTGGGCAATTGCTGTTCCGTCTATCGTGCTGGAGTTGTCTCAAGCTAGTGATCTGTTGGACTACTGCGGTAACCATCTGGAGTACATGATGTATTGTGGCGGAGATCTGCCCCAGCCTGTTGGGGACATAGTAGCCCGCAAGCTGAGGATTGTGAACGGCTACGGCGCTTCCGAGCTGGGAATCCTGAATGTCATCCATGAAACCGGCAATTGGGATCCTCTTAAAGACTGGCGCTACCTCCATTTTCATCCGGAGCTGGGTATGGAGTTCCGGCATGTATCAGGGGACGAGTATGAGGCGGTCTTGGTGCGCACTCCTGAGCGCGAGGGTCACCAATTTCCCTTTTCAATCTTCCCCGACCGTCAGGAGTATCATACCAACGACTTGATGGTGCGCCACCCGGATCCCGCCAAGTCAAACCTCTGGCGGCCATCCGCACGCCTGGATGATGTGATTGTCTTCCTCAACGGCGAAAAGACGAACCCCGTATCAATGGAGGGGCATATGGTTGCCTCTAATCCCGAGGTGACAGGGGCCCTGGTTGCCGGCGCGCAACGCTTTCAAGCCGCTCTGATCGTGGAACTGGACCGCTCAGCGACAGCACTAAGCGCAAGCGACAGAGCTGCTGTCATCGAGAAGCTCTGGCCCAGCATTCAGCAGGCAAACGAAAAGTGTCCAGCTCACGCCCGTATCGCCAAGAGCCACATTCTATTTACCACTCCGGAGAAGCCCATGCTCCGTGCCGGAAAAGGCACCGTCCAACGCGCAGGTACTTTGGCAATGTACGCGTCCGAACTCGACGCTCTCTACGCGGACGCTGAGAAGCTGGCCCAGCAGGACGGTGGCGAAATACCCGGGCCGGGGGCCGTGGACGATGCCGCCCAGGTTGCTGCGTTCATCCGCGCTTCCCTCTTGGCTATCACTGGTTGGAGTGCGGAGAAGCTGTCCGACACAGAGAATTGGTACACTCTGGGACTGGACTCGTTGCAGACAATAACGATGACGCGCGTGCTCAAGCAAGGTCTTCATTTACCTACTCTCATGCCTAACTTGATCTATTTGTATCCCTCGATAACGGAGCTTACCCAAGCAGTTCAACAGCTGGACAAGCAGGGTAAAAAGTCTACCGAACTTCAACAACATGGACTCCTTCAGGAGCGGGACAAACTGCTACAGACACTTGTCAGTCAAATCGAACCACCCAGTCCTGATACCGTTCATACTGCCAGCAGGCCAACCGCCGGAACGCACACTGTCATTCTGACCGGCTCCACTGGCCAGTTAGGAACTTACATCCTTGATGCCCTGCTGAGAAATCCCTCTGTAGCGCACGTCCACTGCCTGAACCGGGGGGATGATGCTCGTGAGAAACAACAAGACCGCATCAAAGCCTATGGCCTCACCCCGCTAGCCGACAACGAGGCACGTCTAAGCTTCTGGACTGCAGACCTAAGCAAGGGGGGCGATTTGGGTCTGCAACCAGACGTTTTCACCCAGTTGCAGCAAACCGCCACGCTAGTTATTCACAACGCCTGGACCGTGAACTTCAACGTCCCCCTAGCAACCTTCGAACCCCAAATGCAGGGCGTGGTGAACCTCATTAACTTTGTGACCCGCAGCCCACGATCTCCACATCTATTCTTTCTCTCATCCATCAGCTCGGTCATGGGCCATTATAACGGCGAGTCTGGCCTGATACCAGAGACCGTCCTTACTACCACCACTTCCGCCCCGAATGGCTACGCCAACAGCAAATACATTGCCGAGCATCTGCTTGATTACGCTGCACAGCAACAGCAAGAGCAACAAAACCGTACCCAGCAAGCACAAGCTGCCCCATCCTTCTCCTTCGCCCGGGTAGGTCAAGTAGCAGGCGCCGTGCGATCTCCCGGTCTCTGGAACCGTGCCGAGTGGTTCCCTAGCCTTATTCAGAGCTCACGACACCTCCAAGCTCTCCCCGATACCCTGGGTCCGATGGACCGGATTGACTGGGTACCAGTCGATCTTCTAGCCGAAGTACTAGTTGAGCTAGCTCTTCTTGGTGCGGACGACTTTCCCGCCTCTACCATGATCAATCGCTGCTCCTCTGCTACCAATTCACCCACAGCGGTCCAAGTCTACCATCCCGTCAACCTTCACCCCCAATCCTGGGATTTGATACGGCCCGTCGTCGCCGACGCCCTTCTCGCCCAGGACAAGGAAAATAGTGGAAGGAGGATTGAAACCATCCCATTGCGCGAGTGGGTGCAGCGTATCCGGCGGGATATCGAGGCAGCCAGTGTCAGCTTCTCGGCTGATACTAAGGATAGCAAGCGGTTGGGTGATAAGGAACTGCAGGCATTGTTGGAGCAGAACCCGGCTGCCAAATTGTTGGATTTCTTTGAGGGTTTGACGATGGAACATACTCAGCCAGGAACTGTCTTTGAGTCGGTAAACACGGCGAAGATGAGTAAGACGTTACGCGAGGTGGAGGGTGTGCGGCCTGAGTGGCTCAGAAAGTGGGTTGGGGAATGGTTGGCTTAGGTCATTTGTTTGGATTAAGCGTATTACTGGATCATCTAATTCTGTTTCAAAGATAAATAGATGAAGACAATATGGGTATACCATATATCCGTTCGAGTCCACCCCTCTAAAAAATAGCATCGTAAGAGCCCTGTACGGTGTGGCGTAACCTGATCAATATATCTTATCTCCTTTAACTTGAATGTCAACAACAAGTCAAGATAGCAAGATCGATAGTCAAGTAAAGCCACTCTGGTACTTGATTAGTATTATTTTAGTTGGTCTTGATATTGTTATTCCTCAATGGAACCAATATGATCATTTCTTTGCGACCAAGATTATATGTATACTATGTGTTTATTAATGCGAAGTGGCCAAAACTGTTAGTGTTAAGGTATTCAATACAAACCTGAAAATTATCATGTTCTCTGTTATATATGATCAAATTTTGGTTTCGTTATTGGGTTTCTCAATACACCACCTGCCAAAGGGTCATGTCGCAGGCATCTGGGATAAACGAACTGTGTAAGATAACGCACCTCTTTATGACAGCCAATTGCTTGCCGTTGTTGGCAGTGAGCGGGAAATAAGAAGATCGACGTTGGGTAGAACAAGGCGCAATGTGGGGTTGTATAGTAGGTGGCCGAAGCAATACTCGCTCCCACGACATGTCCTTAGCCTCACTTGCACTGTATTCTTGACCTGCTACAAGGCGCTTCCTTTCCCATGATGTTTTGCCACTTCCTTGATTCAGGTACCATAAAAGAGCTTTATTTTGAGTGAGGTGTTCGATCGCTGATGATGCTAGCCAGTCCACTGGGTAGGCAATGTGAAAGGTCCGCAAACCACTGACCAGGAATTGTTGAGCGTGGCTTTCCTGCAAGGGGGCCAACTGATGGGTAGGAACTACCGACAGCTGACAGGCTATGCAGAATTTGCCCTTTTCGGCGAGGGCGCCGTCAATTGTGAAATGCTACCTGGTCCGATCAGCGGGTGGCTGTCTCAATTACCATGGCTGCCAATAATACGCTGCAGCAGACATTCTATATCACGACCGATGACATCGATCAGTACCTTTGCGATGGCAATGCCGATCTACGTCCCATCGAACCTCCTGACACACATGGATTGATATTCTTTTAGCCTGGGACTGCCCATGGTCTCCAAGGCGAACCATGCTCTGCTAACAGGTGATAGAATCGTCCTGTCACAGCTGACTTCCACTCATGATGGCAGCACCTGGGACTGGCGATCTTGGATACGACCATGATAATTTGCGTCATGTTGTGATTACTGCGACCTGCTTCGCGTTGGTCCTTTCTACGGTGTCGGTTGGCCTGCGTCTTTATTGTCGCAAGATCACAGGCACCAAGGTCTTCTTCGATGATTACTTGATTATCGTGGCATTAGTATGTCCTGTTTCACCCAACTTCCTCAAACCTCGTCCGAGTATAGCTGACACTGGATGCTGGCGGCAGGTTTTCGAATACGCAGTGTCACTGGCTGGAGTTGTCTGTGCGTAATCCTCCCAGATAGATTGACAACTACACTCGAGCCCTCCCAACTGATGAATGGAAGTGTTGTATAATGGACTGGGCACTCACATCGTCTACGTTCCTCCGTCGGATTTAGTAGTGTATTTAAAGGTTGGCGATTTTACTCAGCTTGTGCCCTTGGGATATTGAGTTGACATTCCACGAAGACTCTAGCCAGTGGCAGCTTTCTCTATACACTATGCATCGCATTCACCAAGCTCTCCATCCTCGCGTTATACAAACGAATCTTTTCCATCCGACCAATGATACTAGCGGCTAATGCCGTCGGGGCGACTGTCATCCTGTGGTGTTTTGGCGTATGTCTGATTGGAGGCGTCGTCTGTATTCCACTGGAGAAGCTCTGGAACCCGACGATTCCCGGCGGGTGCATTGATCTGGCCAAGTTCTACTACGGGCTCCAGATTCCGAACATCGTAACTGACGCCGTCATCCTGGCGCTACCGTTGAAACACGTTTGGAACCTTCAGGTGCCGCGTGCCGAGAAGATCATGCTCACTGGCATCTTCTGTCTCGGTGCTTTGTGAGCATTCTCGCTCCCGGCTGTTCGCATTACTGTTGCTGACATGGATATACCCTCATTAGAACGCTTGCCTTTGACATTGTACGCCTAGTGACACTGATTGAGCTTTCGAAATCCGGAAATGATATTACCTGTAAGAATAAGATAAACCTCGACCAGCTTTATGGCCCCAGCTGACCATTCATGCACCCTCATTTAGATGACCAAGTGCCAGCCAGTGTGTGGACCTGCATTGAGCCCGCCGTGGGTATTACAGCCTCTTGTCTCTCGAATATGCGACCACTGTTTCTTGCCTTGACACGGCTGCGCGTCAGAATGCACCGCGTGCTATCCCGACCGTCACAGACTGGATCGGCAGAGATAGAACAGTCCAAAATCGTATTCACTCAAACTGTGCGAGTCAATAGCAGTCACACCGACCAGCCTTCCGACATGACGAGTCGCACGGCCCCTTATGCTGGGAGACCATCGCCTTTGTCGACGGGGACTACTGTAGGCACGGAATGCTAAACTGCTGCTTCTGAGAGGCCGAGTGACTCGGTCGCTTATAATATCGCAAATCCTCCGCATAAGTGACCGCGGCAACCGATAAGGAAGAGAAGATGCTCCGATGCCCTTACGCGTGTTAGTAAAGTTAAATATATAATTTCGAACACACTAGAATATAGTAATGAGCTTTAGTTGCATTAGCCGGATTTCCAGTCATCTGCTCTCAACAAACATAATTAGAAGGACGAGGAGAAGCACAGCTTGTGGGGAACCGCTTATCTTGCATGTTAAGCCGACCCACTGGCGGCGATAACAGACCAACCGCGGCGAAAGAAGTGCCGGTCAGCAGGAAGGCCCTTGCGGGGGTTGTCTATCGCAGCTTATCGTGTGCGGAGAAGCATCGGACCAGCTCATAGAATATATGCCCCTGATATAGCCGGTCTCTTGGTGCTTTGACTCATTCGCCTCCTCATTCCCCGTCTTAGTAGTGTTCAGTCAAGAATATTATCAACCACTCATGGCAGAAGGTCGTCGATCGGCCCGGGCGTAGGTCATCCACATGTACATTTATACACCAGATAATTTGCTCACTCAAAATATTGCCAGGTGCGATGAATGCCGCCGCTTGAAGGAAAAATGCGAAGGAGGCATCCCCTGTCGTCGATGCGCCCACTTCCGGCGTCCCTGTGAATCCAAAGCCCTCGCGTCGCGCGCCCGAGATTTTCGCGTTTACGTCCCCAGGCGAGTTCTCTCTGCCATGTGGGCACAACGGCAAACTAACCCTTCACTGCAGAACACGGCCAGCCAAGTCGGAGGTACAAGAGTTGCTGGACCGATGCAGATACATGGAACAGATCTTGAAGCACACGATTGAGGGCATCGCGCTAGACACCAAGAGCCTCGCCCGTCTGGCAAACTCCTTCACTACCGGCAAAAGCTCAGATCATCCAGAAGTGATCAGCCCGGCTGGAATGGCTCTGGAGGAAGAGGATTGTACTATCGACCCGGTGGGTGACACCACTACGCGTGCGTCTTGCTCTTGCCGTACCCATGTTGGAATGATTACTGAGCCATCGTAGACTTCTCCGGAGAATTCTCCTACTGGAACTTTTCCATGCGCATCAAGCAGCGCATCCAGAGTCGCAGGCGGACCAAGAGCCCCGACCGTGTTTCAGGATACTGGCGGGCTCAACACCTCAAGACCAATGAGCATTTATCGGCCGCCCTGGCATGTTTTCCTCCTCGTCCAATAACTGGCTTCCTTGTCAAGACTTTTCTCAAATATGCCGCGACACATTGGTTTCTCGTGGAAGAGGATTGGCTATTGGATCGCGCGCACCGACTGTACACCGACCCCGCGAGCCTTGGGGATACGGCTGCTGCGGTCGCTAGTATTCTTCTCTCTGTGCTGGCCATCGGAACTCAGTACGCCCATTTGGAGTCTCCTAGCGACCGAGATCCCAAAAACCAGACGCCGTCCTTCTCCGAAGAAGATGTCGGGGTGCGATTCTACGAACAGTCCATCCGACTACTCCCGGAAATAATCGAGCTGTCCTGCTTGGAGAGTGTACAAGCATGTCTGCTACTTGGATTTTATGCCCTTCCGGTCGATGCCTCTGGGCTTGGCTATATCTACATAAACTTGGCAGTGCGTCTAGCTATGCAAAACGGCATGCATCGCAAATGCCGTCGGGACGCGTTCAGTCCGGTGATGATGGAGACGCGGAACCGCGTCTGGTGGACGGCGTATTCCCTGGAAAGGTAGGCCGTCTGGACCACTGCTGTGACGCTCGCTAATACTAAATAGATTGATTTCGATCTTTCACGGACGACCCTTGTCCGTGCATCGTGCGGATGTGGATGCAGACCTTCCCCATGCTCGCGGAGATATGGGCCAGGCACAGTCCACCTGGAGTTCGCAATGTGCAGTCATCTCAATCCGGATGCTGGACTGGCTGGAGGAATTCCTCCATGACATGTCAGACACCATTCCTCTTCGTAGTGACTTTGATGCTGACTATCGTACAGATCCCGTCTCAGGCACGCTCAACCCGCCGGACTGCCCGTCGTCATAGGCCAGCTAATAGCTCGCAAGGAGTCCTGGGACCGCTGGTGGGCAGGCCAGTCTGACGCGCTTGTCAACTCAATTCAGCCGGGACACCAGCCGAATCGCGCCGTCATGCACCTGTGTCTGGAATCATGTCTGTTGCGCATGTTTATCGGCCGCCCGTTCCTCCTCCGCAAGGACACTCCTAGCCATCCGAATGCAAATCCCCAATCATCTTCGGAGGAAACGTACTTCCAGCCTTCCGACCGCGACAGTCTTATCGGCGACTGCATCCAGGCTGCCCAGGAGGCGCTGGGTATCTGTCGCCAGCTCCGCGATCACGGGCCGGGACTGGCACGAGCGTCCTACCTGGAGTATAGCGCGTGTCGGGCCGCCTTACTGGTTCTGATCGCTTTCTCCGTACAGAATCTATCGGATGCCTTGCGACAGCCCATGCGCGAGGGACTTGTCTTGCTCCGGGAGATGTCAGCAGCAGGTGATTCTGCACGGTCGGAAGTATCTCTGCTCGAGGCACTGGAAAGATCCCTGGCGCGTCTTCATACAGTAGCCCAACGACCCGAACCCGCGGCAGAATCGACTGGACTGGTGTCCGACTACGAAGCCTTTCGCAACTGGGGCACAACATGCAAAAAGCCTGCATCCGAGGCAGCCCCACCGCACCCAGACACGGTCGAGCCATGGACGGTTCCGCTGGATGGGATGGAGCAGCTTCCCCCGTATGATCCCGCTCTGGATCTCTCCATCTTTGGTGGTGCCAATCTATCCCCTTCCGCGACCTGGCCCACCCGCACCGAGACGCAGGTGCTGGAAGAGTTCCTGGCCGGATCGAGCCTGGATCCGATCTGGACTCATGTTGATCTTCCATGACTTACACTGTACTACACTAAACAACTACGATAACCCTGTAATATACTTATTTCATAACACATTATTTCAATGTTTAGACGCAGCAATAATCTTCTCCGCCATCTCCGGAAGCGTCTCCGACACCACATCCAACGGCGCATCAAACACCTTATAGGCCCCCTGCTTCTCATAAACCGTACAATAAGCACCCCGGAACCCGACCTTTGTAGCAGCAGTCACATCCCACAGATGCGCCGCAGCAAACCACTTCTGCCCACCCTCACTACCCAACTTCTCCCACGCCGGCCGATACGCCGCCAGCGCCGGCTTAGCCACGCCCGCCGTATCACAGCTGAGGAAATTCTCCAACGGCATGTCCACACCCGCCCGTTCAAAGTATCCGCGGACCCGCTGCGTATCGCCCGTCGTCAGGCACCAGACCGTGAACCCGGCATCGCGGAGCTTGGCGAAGCATTCGCGGGCACCAGGGCGGAGCTCGAGGGCGGCGTATCCAGCTACGCAGGCGTCGCGTTGCTCGGGGGTGGCGAAGCTGTGCGGGTCGGAAATGCCGATCATGGCGAGGGTTTGGTAGAAGAGTTCAGTGATGACGATCTTGTATGGTTTGTAGCTTTCGGAGATGGACAGAAAGGTGAATTGCAGCTCGGCGTTGGTCATCCATGTGAACCCGAGGGCTTGGGCGGTGATGTGGTGCGCCTGGAGCTGCGGGCCCAGGGTGCGCTCGATGGTGTCGTAGAAGGCATCGAAGGACACGCAGGTGCCGACGACGTCGAATACGACGTGGTTGGGCATGTTGATGTTGTGTGTGTGAGATGAAGAGGGAATTGAGGAGGTGTGTGTGTGTGCGTGTGTGTGTGTTTGTGGTATCGCGGTTATTGAGGGGTAGACGCGTTATCGCGGGGAAAGTCGTGGCATCAAATAGTGAAGTGGCGGACGGGCGCCGATACCGGGCATCTGGGCATCAACTTGGCCCAGTTTAGTAGGCCGGGCCGGTCGCATTTGGAGATACAGCTGACAGGCGCTAGACGGAGACTAGAGCAGGTCTAAGCGCAAGTTAATTCAGGGGAAATTGACGATATGCGACCAGGAGCTGATACTTGATAACGTGTTGATAAGGCGTGTTGATAGCCGGCCTGGTTATCGTGCTGACACCACACTTTGATAGCAACCGCTGGATTCAGAACCCTTTCCACCATTAATGATCGTAGTAGCTCAAGTCATGTATAACGGGATTTTACTATGTAGTTCGATTTTCAATAGTTGTCTGCTAGAATGCAACTCGGAGATCCAGTACCTTGTATGCGTGTGGCGGAAGTTGCGTAATAGTGAATAATATATATAGTCCCATTGTTTCAAAACAAAGAAAGACGAAAGAGATGAATGCCGGCTAAATACAGAATACTAGTATTGAACATAATAAAAACACCTATATGTACAATTACTCCCACAGAATATTCAATCGCCGCAATCCCCGTTTCGGCCTTGGCTCCGGCTCCGGGTTCTTCTGGTAATGCTCGATGAACGGCCGCACTGGCACATCCTCAAGCGGGATGATCTTTGATTTCATCCACCACTTGTACCCAAAGTATAGCACAAAAATAATGGGAACATTCAAGTATGACGAGATGAAGGTCTCGGTATCCCATTGACCGTGAATAAACGTCTCGTATCCACCTGTCAGAAACAACAGGCAAAACAGAACCAGCGTTATCCATGTACTCCACGGCTGGAACGGCGCCTGCCCACGGCAGTTCCTTGTGACGATCAATCCCTTGTTTGCGACATGCGTAGTAGAACCGGAGGTACACAATGCAGATAATTCCCCAGTTGACCAGTGTGGCGATGGACACAATGTCTTGCAGCCACGTGAAAACCGTGCTGGCCGAGCTGGACAACGTCATGTATCCCAGCGCCATGAATATTCCCAGCAGTGCCACCGCTACATATGGGATGCCGAAGCGGTTCATGCGCATGAAGAATGCCGGTGCGTGGCCCTCCGCTGCCATGGCGTAGATTACGCGCGATCCACCCAGCATGTTCGAGTTGCCCGATGACCAGGCCGATGTCAGCACCACCGCGTTGATGATTGATGGTACCACTTTAATGCCCGCATTGCGCGCCGCAATGACAAAGGGAGATTCCGAGGCCGTGCCCGAGGAGCCGAGCAGGTTGGGGTCGTCGGAGGGCACCACCAGCCCAATCATGAAGATGGTCAATACGTAGAAGAGGAGGATTCGGACGAAGATGCGACGAGCGGCCATGGGGATGGATCGGCGTGGATTCCGCGTTTCGGAGGCTGCAATCGTGATGTTTTCGATACCGGAATAGGAGTAGAGCGCGCTGTTCAGGGCTGTCCAGAATCCAAGGAACCGTCCCAAGGAGCCTCCGATGCCGAGATATTGCACAAACGTACCTGGATCGCGCCAGTAGCGGAAGCCAATGCTGGTATGGTTTGGGGCGCCACCACAAGTAATGACGAGGGCCATGATATTGATGCCGATCACAAGCAGGATTTTGAGGATGGAGAATCCAAATTCCAGCTCGCCATATACACGCACAAACACCAGGGCCGTGATCAACATCAGCAATCCGAAAACAGTAATCCAGATGGCATTGTTGATGGTCGTCCAGAACTCAATCACCACCGCCGCAGCAACAATTTCGGAAGGAATTGAAACGAGGTAGGAATATATTTGATTCCATCCGTTGGCGAAGGCTAGGGCGGGGTCGACGAAGATCTCTGCGTAGCGAATCACGCCGCCGGCCAACGGCACCAAGGCACCCATCTCGCCCACCGCGAACACAACGCTGGACACTAACAGGCCCATGATGCTGTACGCCAGGAAACCACCCAATGGTCCTGCATGAGCAATGGCGCGACCTGAACTTAGAAACAGCCCTGTGCCGATTGTCCCTGCCAGGGCGATCATCTGAATATGTCGCTGGTGCAGGCCCTGCTGAAAGACTTGGGCCTCGTCGAGGTGGCCGGGTACGGCCTCAAGGTCCCCATTCTCTTCATCGGTCAAGTGGTGAGGGATCTTCTTCTCTGAACTGAAGGAACCGTCCATGATGCGGCCGGGATGTGTAGGAATTAACTACCCTGGGCCAGAATTGTGAATGCGTTCTGGAAATTGGCATTGGGCGACTTTGTATATGCCTGATGCCCGACTCCCCGCATTGCAAATCGGCATGATCCCGTTGGTCCAGCGCAGGGATGATCCATCGTGAAGCCCTGCTCCTCACCGTGTCGCTGTCCCTCCCAGTGCATTCCTCCCTACCGGCCCCAACTGCCCAAACAGGACAGCCCCGGCGCGACCGATAAGATTGGCGCTAGTCCACGATAGGCAAGTCCGGTCCGGTGTGGGAATCAGATGCGATGCGATAGCATCAGATAAGACTCCCTTATCGTCCGCCCAGAATAACACGGTCGCGTTCCAGTCTTTCTTTTCTTAACCGCTTTTCACTTTTTTTTTTTTTTTTTTCTGACTGTACACACATTCATCATGGCTACAGCTGGCTGCTTCCCTGTTCCCAACCCTGGCGAATGTTTCTGGCAGAAAGAGCCACACCAATTGCACGATCACCGCTCAACTGAGCAGCTTCCTGATCACGCGGACATCGTGATCATCGGCGCCGGGTACGCCGGAGCTAGCACTGCATACCATCTGCTGCGTGACCACGGCGAGAAGGTCAAGTCCATTACCATCTTAGAGGCCCGGGGAGCTTGCTCCGGTGCCACGGGACGTAATGGCGGGCATCTCCGTCCGGACTTCTACGGCCACATCCCAACATACGTCGACCGCGCTGGTGTTCGCGCTGGCGCAGAGATTGCCGAGTTCGAGATTGCCAATCTGCATGCTCTGAAGAAGGTCATTGAAGATGAGAAGATTGACTGTGACTTCACACTGGCGCGGTCCATCGATGTCTGGTGCAATGAAGAAGCGGCTCAGAAGGCAAAGGGCACATATGAGCTCATGAAGTCGTTGGATCTGGAGTATATGAACGATGTGGTGTTCTACACGGGGAAAAACGTGGAGGGAGTGAGTACTACCAATTATAGTCACATCAATAAACTAGCGCATGCTGACCAAACAGATCTGTGGCGTCAAAGGGGCTAAAGCCTGCGCCTCCTTCACAGCAGGCACAATGTGGCCATACAAATTCATTCTACACATTCTCCAATCCGTCCTCGCAACGGGCAAGGTGAATCTGCAAACATTTACCCCTGCTACATCGATAACCCCCAGCTCAGAGGGTGGCTATACTATTGAAACATCCCGCGGCACGATGCACGCGGGAACGGTCGTGCATGCCAGTAATGCTTACGTGGCCGGCCTCCTTCCCGAATACGAGAAAAATATCGTGCCCTGCAAGGGAATCTGCTGTCGGATCACCGTGCCCGAAGGGAAGACCGCGCCACTGTTGAACAACTCTTACATCAACCGCACTGAAGACAACACGCTATCCTACTTAATTCCTCGTCCCGATGGCAGCATTGTTGTCGGTGGAGCAGCCGCCAAGTTCCGTTCGTACAAGGAGCAATGGTACAACAATGTTGACGATACCGTCCTCATCGACTCGGCCAAGGACTACTACAATGATTATATGCAACGGACGTACCGTGGATGGGAGGATAGCGGGGCAAAGGTTGACCAGATTTGGACGGGTGTCATGGGATACTCGTATGACTCGAACCCGCATATTGGAGCCGTGCCCGGCAAGGACGATCAGTTCATCCTAGCTGGATTGAATGGCCACGGCATGCCGGTGATTTGGCGGTCGGCACAGGAGCTCGCGCGCATGGTAGTAGAGAAGATTCCCTTTGAAGAGACGGCCATGCCTCGGCTGTTCAAGACGACGCAATTCCGGATTGATCGAGCCTTGAACGGACAGGAGAGCGATGGAGATATTTTGGGCACTGGTAACTTTCCTTCGACAAAGCCTTGAGCGATGACTATGGTATTTATGATTGTATATATTGGCGCATATAGATGAGCTACCCGACCTTGTATCATACTGCAACTGGGGTGTCCCGTGAATTCCCTTCTGCAACGCGGCTTACAAAGGCCTGATAACACTCGAGCATGTTCGTCCATAAGCGTATTTAATTTCCGCTTCTAATCAACCTGACGTACTCGCTTCGGGCCCAGGCGGAACCCGGTTCCCTCAGTGCCCTCCCAAACGAGTTTCACTTCGGGTATCATTAGCGCCTCCGAGGACGTGGGACTGCGATCGTACTTTTGCCCCTCTCGGATCTTGACCCATCTACTCATTGCTGTGGAAGTGTCTCCAATGTCATCAGTTTTCTGAACATCGTCTTCGCCATGTCTTACTGTGACGAGCATCCGAAGCATCTGCATAAGTAGTTCGATGTCCATTACTTCCGTGTGCGTGTCGGAAGGAGCAGTGGGCAACGTCAGTACTGGGTTGGAAGCGAGGTTCTTCTCGCCCTTATTGATCACGTTAATGCTAGCCTCGAGCATGGCCAGATCTGGCCACCACGTGTCCGACTCATACATGTCTCTCAGGCTGTCAATGACCGTCTCTCGCCAGCCTATCGAAGGGAGACGCGAAAGCTGATAGACAACTTCCCAGCGTTCCCTGTTTATCTGTGTCTCCGGTGTGAACCCAACCCAGTACATATGGGTGATATCCCAGACGTCTGGATGATCAATGGTCCCATGGGAAGGATGGGAGGATGGCACTAGCTCACAGGCTCGTTTCGCACCACGGCCGCGTAAGAGTTGCAATACTTCTGGTAACCCCCAGTAAGCCTCAGTAGCACGCACCGGCGGGCCCTGGCGCGGGTCATACACCGTCTGGGAGGCGAGGGCCCGGGCTCGTGGTGCCCCTGGACTATATGCGGCCAGAAGATCGAGATGCATGTGTCGGCTTTGTTCTGCTGAGGAAATAGTATTGTCTAGCACCGTAGCAGGGTCTTTTGGATTAACCACGTTGTTGATGACCTCGTCTAGACCGACATCAAGGAGGAGGGCGGTGGTTTTCACTCTTCCCGCCATCGCCGCCGTGCCGAGGGTGAGGAGAGCACCGCGCTGCGGGAGGTAGTGCTTTTTGTACACCTGCGCGATACTACATCCTTCGAGAGTAGCCATATGCGTTAAAAGGCGACAAATGATATCGTGACTCTGCTGGTCGCTCAAAGTCTTGTTATTGGCCAAAAGGCAGAAGACATCCTTATTCTCTCTGGTGCGGGCTCCGACATCGGCTCCCTTGGAGATCAGATAAGTCGCACGTTGTTCAGGATCCTGCGTTATTTGGTTTGTATCTGCGGCGATCAGTAAAGGTGTAAGCCCTTGCCGATCGCCCAGATTGACATCAGGCGGGGGATCGTGGGCAAAGAATATATCACAAGCGGACCTGAACTCTTCCTCGGAATGGTAGATCGTGACTAATAGGTGAAGAGGGGTCTCTTCAACATAATCATTGCGGATGTCCAGGCATGCCATCCCCGATACTATTTCCTGCAGCACGTAGAGGTATGAGTCCGTATAGGCAAGCCGCGGGCCTGTGATTCTGGCCCATTGATGGAGGACTTCAGGTAAATAGTTAGTTCAGAAGCGATGCTATCTTTCAAAAAGTGAATTCCTCACCAGTATCCTTGGAAGTGCCGCGAGGGCCGTCAACATCTGCACCCGCGTTTATTAAGGCGCACAAAGCACCTCCATTCCAGACCCCATCTTCTGCCGCTCTTACAACTGCCGTAGTTCGAGGGTAAACCTCATCTCGGTCCTCGATATTCACGCCCGCCAGGGTAAGTGATGCGACCAGATCGGTCATCTGCTGAAGATGAGTATCCCAGCTACCGTGTCGGATCCAGTAATGCCATGCCTGTCGTAAAGGACCATGATACTCTGGTTGATGGAAGGTCATCAGGTGAAGCATGTTCCTTCCACGTGCATCCTTTGCTTTGCCGTTCGCTCCTTTGGATAGAAGGAATCGTATGACCTCGAGATCTCCATACCAACTGGCAAGGCCCAGGGCAGTTGTTGCAGTGTCTGACTTATGATACATGGCGTTGATGTCGGCGCCGAGCTCCAACAGAACCTCCATTGCTGGAATACTACGAGCAAAGGCTGCCCAGTGGAATGGTGCCCCCATCGGTAGTTCGAAAGGACTTGTACGCTTTGGTTAGTACCGAGTGACATATGAAGGTCATACGGTAACCACTGGGAAACTTACTAATGGGCCATGAAGTTTCTTCGCGCTGCGTATGCACCCTCCTCGGTTCTCTCTGGAACCATCAAAGCATTAACGTCGGCGCCTCCCTCCTTGACGAAACGTGTCGCAATCGCGCTTGTGGAGGACTCGGGAAACATGAATAGCCAGTGCAAGGGGGTCAGCTTGTCTCTACGAGTCGTGATGGAGGCAGCTGCGCCATGGTCCAGAAGATAGTGTACCGTGTCTGTCTGCCCAGCTTGACAGGCCTTGTAGAGCGGTGTTTCGCCATTGTCATTCGGCACGTCCACTGGCATCTTGGAGTTTTCAACAAGCCATTGAACAACATCGATGGATCCCAGTGCTGCTGCGACATGTAATAGTGTATTGCCATCAATATCAACGAACCTCTTATCTGCTGTAAGCCACTCTTCTGCTCGGTTCCTATCGTGGGCAATATCTAGGATTGTCGGTTTTCGTGTGAAGGGATCGGCACAAAAGCCACCTGCGTCTCGATATTTTTGCCTTGCAGCTTGCAGTTGCTCCTTCGTGACCCTAGACGAGGGCCTCTCAAAGAAGTACCCCTCAGATACGGCCTGAAGCAGCCATTTATCTAGTGTCTGCTCATCGAAAGCCGGCATTTGGCCATGGGCGTGCATGACCTGCGCGTATACTGCTCGAGCGGGCGAATAGCCACTCCGGGCAGCCTCGGTGATGTAGGTGAGCAGGCGTTCGAGATACGACGGCTTCGCTCCGGTGATGCACTGGGCCATACCCAGCAGAACGTCACCGGCATGCCGCAAGGATTGGTCGCTCTGGGACTCGGCAAACTGCTGCTCAAGATCTGCAAGAAGGGAGGGATCCAGACGATACCAAAACCTGGGGCCCTGGTTGTGCGCCGGATCAATGATGCCGACATTAGCAGTGACCTTGCGAGTATCCTGTGCCACTGCAAGCCTGGCATTGTGTCAGTCATTACAGACCTTCAAGGATGGACATCAAATAGGGAAGAATATCTGAAATTACCAGGACGCAAATGCGGGACTATCGAACTTGAGCAGTTCGGGACTTGCCAGGCTGCGTTTCCAAGGATCCGTTGCCAGGAGCTGCCGCAGAGCTTTGCCGAGTTGCATGCGAAGTGGACCAGTGATGGACGGATCTTCTCTCAACATAAATAGAGCAACCTCGATCGGCTCCTCCCCAGGTGATTTCAATTTTACTGGTTCGCCACGATTGATGAAGGTTGATAAGATAAGCAATCCCAAGCTGTAGGAGTCGAACCGAAACATGACTTCTGGGTCAAAAGCAGCGCCCTCCCACCGGGACAAATCGCTAGCTTCAGGCGCCCGCCAATCCTCCGTCCCATAATAGCTGTCGATAGTGAGCTTATCTTCCGGAGACTCTAAATCGACGCAAACCCCAAAGTCGCTGATCTTGGCACACAGCGGAACATTATCACTGCCTGCAGTATCTTTGTAGATCAAGATATTGTCTGGTTTGACGTCTCCATGAACAATATGCAACCGTTGCAGCGCCTCGAGTCCCGAGACTGCATCCAGCAGCAGCTGATACTTAACATCTAGTGGTTGCGGCCCAAGTAGCCTCTCGTTGTCAATTTTGAGAAGGTCGGTCAGAGTCATGAGCGCCTCCTCCACGAATAAGACCGGAACTGGGGTATCAGGATAAGGGTAATCGTAGCCCCAGGCGACGAGTTTGGCAATATTGCGGTGGTTTCGGAGGTATGGGTTGGATAGAGCAAGTACTTCCAGCTCCAAAGATCGTAGTCGGTTACGATAGTCGGACCCGGAGGCAAAACTGCCGCTGCCCTCGCGGGACAGAAACACTTTGACGCGTTTGATCACTAGCCCTTCGTTGCCGAAAAATCGACCTGGAATTTCCTTGTACACTGTAAATTGGCCTCCGCTGCCAATTTTGACCGCGCGGCGCTTGAGGTTGTATGTCTGCAGGTGACGAGGTCCATGGATGCCGGTTCGCGAGAGGATGCTGGTAAAGTCTGACACTGAGGTCATTAGGGGATTCTCTCCATTTCGGACGGCCGTCACTTTTTCCTCCAAGAGGTCAGTCGAAGATGAACTGTGGCCATCATAGGTTTCTTCGCCGTCAACCAAGCTGAGCGGGTCGAGATCTGGTGGCTCAGACGTGTTGTCCAAGAGGTCGTCGAGAGAAATGCTCGCTCCGCTGTTGTCTAAATCCAGATCAAGGGGGTCCAAGTCATCCACGGGATCTTCATCAAGGGTATCGAGGGCCTCCTGCAATAGTGCTGCGCTGTCATCGTTGAGTAAATCCATGTCGTGCAAGAGAGGATGACAGTGTCGCACAATCGGACCATTTCCGTTGCCCGGGTCAATCATTAATGAAGGCGGGACGTGGACTTCCCTTCCTTGCCGTGCGCATCGCACTCGTCACTCACACTACGCTAGTGCTGACCCTATCCCCACTGATACGAGGCGGTGGCTGCAGCAGATTGAAGCCATTCGCCGCGGGGTCACGAGCTAGGGTCGAGATGATTTTCTTATTTATAGCGCAATTGTTTGCTCGTCAACTTCTCCCGCTTCCTAATACCTATTGTAATCTTTCTCCAGAAGACCGTATTCTCCTTAAAAGCCGCAAAGCGACAGCATTAGCTGGTTCGATCCATCCTCCCAGTTAACGTCTCCGCAGTAATAAAGATACCCCCGCCCGAGCCTGGCCCCCACCACAGCAGCTTGGGTTTCATCCGCGCGCATTGGAGGGAAAACATGGCTTTGCGTTAGCGCGCCCTCAGTCGGAACATAGCGCTTTTCCTGCGACCCGGCATCCTTAATATGAAGCACCTTCATGCTATACGGTTCAGGCAATGTAGATGCCCCAATCCTTTCAGGCAAGAGACCTGACGGATTGAGTTGGAATGTTGTGCGATGATAATCGCCATCACTCCAGGGAAGACCGAAGCTTCTGAAGAATCTCCTGAACTTGTCCTTGGGCGAGAAGTTTGGGAAGTGCAGACCGGCGATGACAAGACCGCCATTTTCAATATATGCTTTGATTTTGGCGAGCACTTCTCGGGCCTGTTGATTGGAGTGGCTAAGGCCTTCATCCGTTATGATTATTGCACTGAAGGTCGTCTCGGCAATGGTTCTGAGCGCGGCGGACGCGGTCTTCACGCGCCTGAGGGTGGCCACTTCCAGAATCCTGTCCAAGAAGCTGGCATAGATTTCGTCGAGGTAGTCGCGATAGGCGAGAGAGAAGAAGAATCTGGGGTCTCTCGTTTGAGGCCATGGTCAGAATAAGGGTGGGATGGATACCAGCCGAGAAAGGATGGAGGGAAATACGAGCTGTTGCAGCACCCGATCAACACTACACGATAATGATCAATAATGATCGAGGGACGTGAGATCGTGTAAATTACGGGGTGGAAAGCCGCTGGGAAAGCGGGGACTGGCGGCAGAACGGATGCAGGAACAACAAGGGAAGCAGCAGCAGTGAATAGTTAGTTATCAGGTCAAACAAGGTCGATCAACATAACACTCGCTGCTTGTTGATCGCTTGGGCTGCACTTTCCTAATCCGAGGCTAATGAGGCCATCTAAGGTGGGGGGCGGGAGAAAGTAGTATCCCAGAACCAATGACATCTAGCAGCACCAATAAAATAGACCCTTTCATTCTCGGTCGGGTACTAATCACAACAAAATGGAAACTCTGGCAGACCAAACATCAGCCACTAACCCCACCACCAGCTCTACGGAACAAGCAGGAGTGTTCAATCATATGTAGAAGTTTTGGGGGGTACTATGTGAGGCATTGAAAACATTGTTCGCGACCTGCAATGGCACACCCGGCCTACCCTTTGGCCGTAAAGTAACGAGCAACCCTCTGATAAAGCTGTCGGAGAATCATGTGAAAAATAATTTATTACTTCATTATAATATCATTGTTATGCTTTACTTGGCTTGAACTCGGCCAACCTTTCTAGCAGTGTAATATCCATAGTTGGGAAAACATGAGGGTACCGAAACTTATTATATTTTCACGATATCAGCCAGCAACAGAAATAGTAAGTACTACTAGTCACGTATCACCTGAAGATTCAAACCTATTATAGTTTCAATCTTTTCTCCATCTGCTTCTGAATACGAGAATGGGAATTTATGATATACCTAACATATTCCTTTACCAGTTAGAGTATACCTGTATTTAGCATAGTTAAAAAGCAGGGGCTCCTCACGTCAGCGCTAGGACACCTGTCAGACCTGCAGACATGACTCGTCTCGGGCCCCTGCGTGGTGGGTCTGACGGCAGCCCGAATATTAATACTGGCTAGTTTCTTGTTGCTCAGAGTGTCGTGTCTGTTGGTAAACGCTAACACAGGATACGAGACTCGTGAAAATGGATGTGTATGGAACCGCAGTCACTGCCGTCCAGCAAGTCATCCAAGTGACCATCTTCATCAAGGGAGTCATTTCAGACGTCAGAGCTTATGACGATGACCGAGCCGCCATCCAGCTTCGACTGGACTTGCAGCTAACATCTCTTGAATTTTTTCAGCGTCGGTTCCTGGACAAGGAGCGTGGTCTACTGCTCCCAGGGCAGCTCCCCGGCTGGGTCGCTGAGACGATATGCAACCTCTTGCTGAAGATGGGTCGCGTGCTGGTGGAATATCGTGCTCTAGTCAAAGAGTATGAGATCCTGGATGCTTCAACTGCAGCTTTTGACCACGGCGACGATGCATTGCCGAAGGGAGAAAAATGGAAACAGTCGTTCCTCGATCGGACCAAGGCCAAAGCCAAGGCAATCAAGCTGAAAGGGTACGACTGGGCACTCTTCGATAAGAAGAAACTCCTGGGTGTCTTGGCTGAGTACAAAGAGTGGACCGACAGTCTGCGGGACTTGATGCAGCACTTCTCCCAGGAGGCCTTGTACACCCTGACGGATGGCTCCGCAGCGAAGTCACCACCAACTGCGACCGATGTGCAAGGAACAGGACTAGAAGAGGTGGTCAAACGACAGCAATTGGCATTCCTTCATGCTCCAGCTGACTTTCAGGAGCTCGAGGGTGAAATTGCCGAGTCCGACAACGCATCGGATGGGTTTCACTTGGGCTCGTGGACGCACCAGGGCCGATCAACTCCCGTAGTCCTGGAATTTCGCCCATATGATCGCCGCCTGCGTTATGATGACCTTGACGAGGAGGAGATTGCAGAATTGAAGGCGCCGCTGCGAGACCTAGCCTGGCTACTTCAGAATTCCACGTTTTCGGCAGGCAAGAAGGATGCTGAGGTGTCCCAACCAACAATATACTCCCTCCAGTGCCTGGGATATAAGGATGAGACAGAAAAGGAACGAACGGTCTTTGCGTACCGACTACCAATTCATGACACCGATGATAAATCAACCGAAGTGCAGACCGGCCTGACGACTTTGCACAGCTTAATCAACCAGGTAGATCCTCAGACAAAACGACCCGCAAAGCCATCGCTGGAGGATCGCTTCGCCATTGCGCACTGCCTCGCACTAACCACTCTCAACGTACACGGCTCGCTCTGGTTACACAAGAACATCTGGAGTCGAGGCATTCTCTTATTCGAGCAGAGTCAGGACAATGTCGTCGAGCCTCTGTCCAGACTGTCCCTGACCACACCTGCAACATTCAACAAGGGTGGACAGCGACAACCGCGCCTTCTTGCATTCCTTGGTGACTGGGGTTACGCCCGACCAGTCGAAGGAGCGACCGACATGCGCAGTGATTTCGAAATAGAACCCAACCTTTACCGCCACCCCGACCGTCAGGGCGTTCCGACACGACAATTCTCCCGCCTCCATGATATGTACGCGTTGGGGGTGGTACTGTTAGAGGTTGGGCTGTGGAAGACAGTGTCTCGCCTCTTTGAAACACGCATCAAAGAGGGCCAGCGTACTCGCAAATTACCCAAGGCTCGTGACGTTCGTGCGGCGTTAATATCGCTGGCCCAGCGTGACCTACCAAAGGAAATGGGTAGCGCCTATGCCTCAGCGGTCGTGGCTTGTCTTAGTGGCGATTTCCGCAAAGGAAGTGATCTAGAACTTTCTCTGGACTTTCGCGAGAAGGTGGTAGACTGTGTAGCTGAGGGATTGCGACTCTGATCTTGGTTTGAGCCAATGTATCTATGGACCGGCCACATGAATTGCCCTTTTTAGTATGCCCGTTAGAGTACACTACTCACCATGCGAGAGCGATATTGCATGTATGATTTACTATAGACCATGGTCATAAGCAAATCAGCGTTTGCACTTGTTCCGTATATTCTTTCCGGCAGGGTGGTTACACATCTCGGAACCCCAGGTATGGTTCTCCTGTGGAGCAGTAAACCCCCGGATTTCGGCATAACTTCATGTTTGTGGTCGTGGGGCCCAACTGACTTCCGCCCTCAGTGACAAGCGTTGGCACCCCTCGATTGCTAATACCCCTGTGCGTTGAGGGAGCATCTATCGGCACCAAGGAGATTGAGCGAAACGTCCCAAGAACCCGCAACAGCCGACACACGGAAGTTTTCTCATCCAGATAGACTCGCACTTGGACTGTCATGATTCTGGCTAACACCGGCTGAGATATGATGGTAATAACAGTGCTACAATGTAGCTGCCTGATGCTGTCAGCTTACGGGCCCATCCCAGCGTCCCTACAAGGAGCAATCTCCGTGCTGATCAGGGTCATGAACGCTTAGCTCTGGCTTATGGCCCCTTCCAGAAGCGCATATAATGTCTCAACCTGATCTAATGATTTAATGGGTCTTCAAAGAGATATTTCCAACCAATGATGGCGGATGTGCACATGATAGAGATCGGATTGGATGCTACCGAGGCTACACGATTATCGTGATGCCAATGGGTCCTGTCTGGTCCTCTACCTCAAACTTATCCACATCCCCTCCCAGGATATAGTTCCCTTCCTCGATCTCCGCCTCAGTGGGTCGTTCATCAAACGAGCACAAATAATTCCCTCCCTGCGACCATGTGTGTAGGTCCTTCCCCTTGAGATCGCCTTCCACATCACCCCAGCACCACCACAAAACGTCACATCGGCTATGGTTGACTTTGATCTCGAACTCCTCTCCAGGCGTAATATCTTCTGGGCGGAGAGTAGAACGCTCGAACAGTCGGCAAAGTGATATTTGATAAGGAACCACAATGTCTGAACCGTCTCCCGGGATGGTGAGGAGGCGGTACCCTCTTTCGGCCAGACTTGGCCCCTCAAAATGGTCACGATAGCGTGGTCTAATAACCCCGAAATTGATGGTCCGCGAGGGATCATGCTTGGAGGTGAGACCGGAGCCGAGGACGCCAATTTCCAGACCCTCGCCTGCAAATACCGACCGGTCGGCGGCGATGGTGACTGATCGGCCCGGGCGCGTGGAATGAATGATGCGGGCGCGGACAAACACCTCAAGAAAGTGGGAAGAGGAAAGCGACAATGTCGGCGAACTTGTGGTCACGGTGAGAGCAACGGTTACCCCATCATGCGCAGAAGGCGAGGCCATTATGATACTGAGACAGAGAGCAAGGCCAGTTGAGATGAGAAGCAAGAAGATATGGTAACAAGCGGGATAGTTAAGGAGAGTAAATTGATTCAACGGGGCAGTTAGGTACTAGTTATTTGGGGGGGGAAAAAGTTGGTTTCACTTTGTCAGCATGGCCAGCAGAAAAGTAACTAAAATAAATAGTTCAAGAATTAAGCCTACTACTAAGTCACCATCATTCAGCCTTAAACCCTTACGATCGGCCTCCCCTTTCGGTTTCCTGCACAGGTGGACATGGCCCCCAAGACCCTTCCAAATTACCCACGCTCTAGTCTCACCGTGTGCGGGCGGATTGTAAGGCTACAGCTTCAGGACTTCTCATATTTGTTGTCATCAAAGACATGAGCATGGCCCCCAGAAGGATTGATCCAACTCGAAACTCGGCCCAGATGGCACACATAGGACGATAGGAAAGACAATAGGGAATGGCTCTTGGAGACCACGGAGGCCCATTAAAGCCTATGCGATGTCCAGTCGCTTTCAGGGTACACACCACGCACAGTCCTTTGTTCTACCCCAGCAGCATTGTTTCTTTGCTAGTTCATCAATCGCTCGTTAATCAAGAGACTATGCACTTGTTATATCACCTTTTCTCCGCGGGAGCAGCTCTCTTGCGCTACTCTAACGCTGCACCTACCGCAGGACTTTTTCGATATCGTACATTGGGAAATATGCTGGATGTGATGCCTCTCAAGTTCAGAAACTCGAGCAAGCGTTCGCGGAACGCTAGCAGAGACCATAGATACTTCCAAGCACCCGTAAGTAAACTTGACAGCAAAAGACACAGCCACAGATGGTGGGAACTAATTGCTGAACCTGTAATGCGCAATAGTTGGTCAAACTACTTCTGCAAACAAGGCGGTGGCAAGACTGAGGACGAGAAATATGCAAAGGCGATGTGGAAGGCTATCGCATCACCAAACTTCAAGATTACAGTTACCTGTGCCACGAGCGACAATGCCGCCTGTAAACATGGAAGGTCTGCATCCAAGACTTTGGAACCACCTTCGAAATCTAGTAGGGGTATTGAAGACTGACGAGATATATAGTATCGCCTATGCTGATCCTACACCGGCTAAAAACGACATGACGGTGTGACCAATCTTCTTCAAGAGTGATAACCCGGAATCGAAGAACACCTTGAACTCGAGACACATGCGTGCGCCGGACGGGGAACGCCCCAGTCGTAAAGGACCTAAAAAGGAATACTGGTGCGAAGACCACAAGAATATCAAATGGTACGAAGTGGCAGCTCAGCACATCCTTCATGAGATGACCCACTTCGATTCTGCGGGTAAGCAGGCCGGCTTACCTGAATACACGTAAGTCCTGGAATGAGTTTACCGTGGCCTTCGTTGGGGATAATCTGACTTCTCCACAGTGGTAAGGATGGCGTCACGGCACATGGAACAGACGATTGGAAGAAGACCAACTACATTAAGAACGCCCGGCTTCTAGCAAGTAACTGGCAGAAAGACGAGGCGAAGTGTCAGAAAAACCACGAGATACCTCCTTACCGAAATGCCGACAACATCGCAATGTGGGCCTTGGGGAAGGAGATCTATTTATGCACGGATGAGATTTGGATTGTGCTAACACTTTGAAGAATGGTATTTCACGGAACATTGTTCTCTCGAGGCTAGTATTCCCTTGTAAGGACTAATGCCTCCAGAGATCCCTACCGCATGGCTTGTCCATTCATTTCTATTGCTTCTTGGTGGCTCTCATCTATTTTGGCGTTGAGTATGCATACTATGAATGGTTTACCCGTCCTGTATAATTACTTAGTTCTTCACACATATTTGTATATCGGCTGTGTGAAGTGATTATAAAGCTGTCGCCAGCGGTAGTACTGATGGTGTATGTTTCGAAGGGATTAATTAAGGAGATATACTACCGGGCCCCAGGAGAGATGGCGTGGAGGAGAGAACACAACCAGCAATGCATCCTCAAAAGTAAAGACTGGAATCCGCCTTATATAGAGTGTAATTCTTTGCCGACCGGTACCGTTTCTTTTTGCAAGGTTTGTCTTGACGTCAAGTCAATAATCGGATACAGCTCGAAGAATTCCTTTTAGGGACCGCGGAGATAATTAGCGAGCTGTAGTAGGTAATGATTTTTTGGAGCGCCCGGTTGCAAGGGGTGTGCCGATCGGGAAGGGATGGCAATTTCGTTTGTGTCAATCCGAATAGATTGTCTTCGGACACATAGGCCACATCAATAGAAGGAGAATAAAGTTGTTAAATTTACATAATGCGAGTTTTCCATGCATCGAACGATTTGGTTGCACCATGGCTTCCATATCAAATTTACATATCCGTTTGCCATGTCAAAATATCGGAAACGTATAACCTAGGATGAATAGCGGTGAGAATAACTCAAACTTCTATACCACCCTAAAGAAGGTGGGTAATAATCTGCCCCGAAGGTGTGGTGGCGGCATTGAGTATGTTTGCTGTTTTTGATGCCTTGATCATGTTCATCGTTGAAGCACTGGGCAAGAAGGTGGATCCTTCAGATCACCAGCGCCGTTCCTCACAGCAAGGAAAGAAAGTTTATTTCGAAAAGTGGAAAGCATCATTCAAACACGTAAGGCGTACCTGCAAGTGGACGGTTTTCTGCCACGCGAGTGACAGGGATCAAACTCAATGCCCAGGATCTACGCGTCCCTCGCACGGATCCTGGACTAGACCGCCATGCTCGGAGGCCCTTCGATGGAACACAGCCTGGGCGCATTCGGCGTGTCACTGTACAAACGAGGAGTCAAAATGCGCGATCCATAACACTAATCAGAACATCCCAGTATAGACCACACACGAGGGTTGACGTTTCATCGGAGCCAAGGAATGATTCTTCTGGAAATGACCGGCCGAGCCAGGCAATAGTTCGGCCACTCCCCTGCCGTAGCTATACATAGTTTCTGCAATAACTCGAACAGTGTGCTAGACAATCGGATCTGTCACCCACGCGATATGATAGTATTATCAGTGGCAAGTTTCAGCGGAAGCCACATAGCGGGGTGTCAGTTTCCACAGACCTGGTGATTCGCTTGTCATTGCCGGACCCGACCGCGGACAAGGCAGCTCAGAACCCTAAATGCGCATGGACGGCAACCAGGGTGGATGCATCACTTTCCATCCGCGGAAACATTGAATGACGCCCTTGCATGGGTTCTTCAAGAGAGGCTATAAGTAAGGCCCCGGAGGGACTGCCATGTGGCGAAGAGTTAGGTTGTCACTCTAAATATACCACAACCAATCCACAACTTTAGTATACAACATGGGAGACTACAACAGTTCAGGCACCCTACCGCGCCATGTCGATCGAAAAGCCCTTTATACGGATCTTGAAGCTCGCGTTCGCTATCTACAGCAGTTTATTGGCTTCACTGCCGGTCAGTCGCCCCGTATCCTTGTTCCCGCTATCTTTCCGCGACCGGGAAAGGCCGAGCATTGTCGCTAATACATTTTTCTAGATGATGTTATTGCACTAAACCGAGGATCCAAGTACATCAAAGCACTAGCTCCCACCCTTGTCGATCGCGTATACTCCAAGCTGCTGGAGGCTGATATCACAGCCCGCGTATTCCAGACACGGAGCACAACATCGGAGCTGGATGTTGATGAGTATCCCGAGTTCAAAAGCCCTTATATGCAATGCCGCCGAATGTTCCTCCGCTGGTATATCACTCGAATATGTTCTGATCCAACGAAGATTGAATTCTGGGCGTACCTCGATAAAGTCGGGTAATGTTGGACTGGGCCCGATAATCTGGATTTTTCCAACTGACAGCTGAGCTAGGCGTATGCACCGGGGCAAAGACCGCATGATCTCCTTTGACGTGGAATATATACATATCGGCGCTTGTCTTGGCTACATTCAAGATGTGCTCATCGAAGGAGTCATGGGGTGCGAGAAGATGTCCCTCCCCTTCCGAGTTGCGCTGGTTCGAGCGCTGGGGAAAGTCATCTGGATCCAAAATGACCTGTTTGCTCGGTGGCGAGTTAGGGACGGCGCTGAATTTGAGATGGAGATTGAGGCAGTTCACGAAAATCAAGAACCGATATCGAGGGCAGCTAGTGCTAATGCGAATACACGCAATCGCCGGGATGGGGAGGCAAGCAGCGTACGGAGTACCTGGTCTTCCCGGGGAGATTCAGCCAGCATCTTCTCCGACCATCAATCTACTGCACCCACGTCAATTAACATTGGATCACAGGAAGTGGCCGCGGACTATCCGGCTTGTCCATTTTCGCCAGACCATGCGCCGTCTTATGAAACAAGAGTGTGGTCTGATGCAGATTCTGGCCGCTGCTCTCGGTGACCTGATGATCTCCATGGAGGCAAAAATGGCAGTTGGTGCCGACTACATAGCTTCTGTCTGTCCTTGGGATGCTATTGGAACGACGTACCGCAAGAACCTGTTTTTATTACCACTTTCTTTTTTTTTTTTTTGCTTTTCCTTTCTTTGTTATTTCTTTTTCTTTCTTTTCTTTTTTTTTTTTTTTTTTTCTCTGACAGCAAGTAATGTGGAAACGGGGAAACCAGGCTAGTATATAGTTGTAAATAGAAATGCACTCAGTCCCTATCCGATGTAAGAAGCAGGTGAAGTATGTACAGCCTGGCATTGACGGACAATTCCTCCACGATCGGGGGCTGTGCCAACTTGGAGCAGGACACGAAGAACACCGACATTATCAAAGTAGAACATAATACATAGACAAAGTCACAAGATTCGTACGCGGGTAATGAAAGACATGTTTGCCAACACCAAAATGTAGCTCCGATGGCACGATCATGGTTTAACAAACGTCAAAAAGTCGAGGCTCAGGTCAGTGAAGAAGCTGGCGCCCGCGACCGGGCTGGGGGCATCTGCCACCGTCACATTGCAATATTCGTCGAAGCTACCCGCAACTTTGCTTTTCTTCTCAAGAAGGGAGATATAATCAGACAACAAACAGCTCCGGCCAGGTCCATCTTGGCAGTGAGCGATGGGGTAGACGGCGTCGTTAAAAAGTACGCGGACATAGGTTTTGTTGGATGTTTGGCGTCGAGACTCGATCTCGCAGTTCAAAACCTCAAAGGCAACCGTCCCCCGCATGGTGATCCAATTCGCAACATTATATAGATGGTGGGCGGGCAGCTGGTCGATAGGTAGGGAGGGCTCGTCATCGAAGATGCCCATGGCAGCGGTCATCTCCGCGATCTGATTATCATTCAAGAAGGCCATGACCAGGTTGGGAATGGTGAAGTTTCCCCCGTCCACATTGGTGCCAATCTGACCCGGCCCCTTGCTTAAAAGGTCCATCAGACTGTTCAGGAAAGGTAGGAATAGCACCTTGGCCGGACCAACGGAACCAGGGCCGACCTTGTAGTAGTAGCTCAAGTCCTGCGAGTAAGCGTAGTTGCGTAGCTCATCCTCGGTGAACACTCCACACCAGGAGCTCAGGCGTCCTGTAATTTGGCTTTCATACCCGCACAGATAGGGGAAGAAGAGGATATCGCTCTCGTCGAATGTGAGATTGCCACTGACGAGGGAGTTGATGCGTTCGAGCGCTCTGGGAGTCCAGGTAGCGTCGACTGTCGTGGAGTTAGCCAGGTCGCACGGACGCAGTGCCTCCGAGACTCACAATCAGTAACATTATTTCCTCCACTTGAAATAGAAGAAAATGCCGGACACATATCGGAGGGTCCCAGGGAGTTGCCGATGGCACTGGCGGAGCCGGTCGAGTTCACGCTGACCACAGTGCCGTAGGTGTCAGCATACTCGTAGAGGTATCCATTGACAAAGGCACGGGCAGTTTGAACGACTCTCGACTCGTTTAGCGGATACTGGTAAGCATTCGCCCACGCATAGAATGGGCTTCCATCTTCATAGAAATGGGGATCTGTCGTATGTCATCAGCGTGAAGGATAATAAACATAGGGCTGCATTCGTACACCGGGCCCGCAGCTGGTAGCCGAGATCGGTCGCCTAAACACAATTAGCATTTATACCCTCTTGCTACTTGTGATAGGACAAATACCTCCTTCCACCCTGTCATTGACTCTTGGGACATTTGCAAGGTTGGATTGGTCAGAACGGGAGTCCATTCTGGTATGAAGGCCAAGGATCCACGGGCCTGAAATCCGGTGCTATTGACGGCAGCTTGGATCTAAATGCGGGAGAATTTCCTTCAACGACGGTTCCAAAGGGGTGTAATAGGAGCGGGAAAGACAGACCTTCTCCTTGATACCCACCCATGATTCATAGGAGCCAGAATCTGGGAAGCTGCAGTTCGATTTCAGCGTCCAGGCAGCTGGACGCAGTACTTGTTGAAACACTTACCGGCTGCCGTGTCTCACGACATAAGCGGCTTGCTGGACCGAGCACTTTTCAGGTACGCTGTTATCGATTCCAAAGACATTGGGACCTAAGCATACAATTAGGGACCACCGTCATCGCAGAATGCAAAGAAAGGTCTCGTACCGGCGAAGTAAGGACTATTCCCCCCGGCATATTGCAGAGGGTTTTGGTTTATCGAAGTAGACGGCGATAGGATATCGTTGGTGGGAGCCAGTACCTGGGCGTTGACACCACTAATCCCCGCCAGAAGCAACGAGGCAAAGATTGTCTGTCCCAGGGAACCCGACATGATGGTTCTGTTCGAAGGGGTTGCCTCGGGCAATCAAAAACGTTGGTCTTGCTTTGAGAATAATAGCGAGATTGACTGAGGTGATCCACAGAGGGGTACTATTTCTTTATATAAGTATCTTATCGGCTAGGATGCTCTCGGCATGGGGTGTTTCCCGCGTGGGGTGTGGCATAAATCCCAAGATGCAGGAGGAATTGAAATTAACGGTCGGGTATCCGAGCTGCAGCTTCTTAGTACCACGACTAGTAAAGAAGTGCATTTTAGCTGCCGACCTATCCCCCAGCCACGTGCCCAGGGCGTATATTAAGTGGAAATGAAGCCGGTAAAAATGGCGCCTCCAACTAATTTGCGACCAGCGAGCAGGCTGGCCAATTGTATAGGATGGAGCGCCCAACGTGGTTTGATTACTTGCCAAGTTAGTAGCCGAACAAAGCAATAACTGAGTGCACAAACCATTCCTCTATTGGATTCCTCTGTCATATCCTATGTTTTCCTCACTAAGAACTGCATAGTACTCTGTTGTCTTGATGTGCAACCACAGTCATTGTCATTTTTCGCTCTAGCGTTCTCCAGGCAGTTAACCCCAGTGTTAGACCATGCTTACCATGCTGGCACAGGAGCCATGGCGATTCCCATCTTCCCGTCTTCCCAGTTTGTTCAGTTCTCACTCCTTGCCAACTATCACTCCTATACCTCCCTTTCCCTACTTCTCTTCTTCATTTTTTTCTATCCCCTTCTTCCCTTTACTTATCTATTGGGTTCTTTTTCGGTTTCGAATACGATTATGAGTGTCCCCAACGAGGTATAATACGAAAACGTGCAAGACATAGTCGGAGATAACCACGCCTATGGAATCACGGCAATAAGCTCCACCATCAACACGAGGTCTCATGGCAACTTTTAAAGGTAGAACAGCCATCCCCCCACTTTGGTGATAATCCTTGATTGCCATATACGATTTACCGGCTCTAGCATCACAGGAAAACAAACTATATTGTCGAGACAGATTGCAGGGTATACCCAACGAACAAACAGTGTCCCTTTCCCCCGCTGGATAAGATGCACTCCAGGACGAGTGATACAGTGCAATGGCCGTCATGCTAGATGAGTGTACAGTACTGCCAACAAGAATCTACAACTGTCATGTGTCTGTTTCTCATAAGTCGTGATGGGGCATCATCATTTAAGGAGAGAGAACATAATATGCGCCAATCAAGCACTACCAACAGTCCAGCTACGCGGGGATGCCTGAACCAACTTCCTGCTTTTCACTACACCTCCTGAGTGGTAGACACTGTCTGGGAGATGACAGACATATAGCACTTTCCGGGAATCCACGGCCCGAGATAAACAGGCTGGCATGGCGTAGTTAACGCTCCTAAGACCCGCGTTCTCGTTGCCTTGGATTCTTGCATACTGACCCAGATCTTTGCTTTATATTACACACCCTTCCCATCACCATTTTACCTTTTGATTTTATTCCACCTTCATAAGACTCTCAACGGCCAAAGCCAGGTCAGTTGAGCATTGGTGCTTGCAATAGTGTCGTCCAGCTGTGCTGCCAACCAGTGCAGCGAGCAAGGTTTGGTGAGAATAGATATCGGGAAGCATAGCTGACAGCAAGTTGACGATGTGATATCTGGCGGTAAACGGAGATGTGGAAAACAGGCGCTTTGAGATGATTAGCTTAGTTGCCTTCTATTCATGGGCGCCAAATCAGGTCCTTCACCAAGAGTGCAAGTACGGAACTCCAGTCTAGTACGCGCCTACACGCAGAGAGTCGGATGTCCCGATGTTGGGTCCCATATTTGTGGACATGAGATTGCATGTCCAAATTGAAAGGAAGAAGGAAAGGGAGGTAAGAAGGGCGAGACGTCATCGCCTAGACCTCACAATGGATAGCCCCGTAACGGCCTTTCTTCGTCCACGTTCAGCCCTCTTCGACAAAAGGAGGTTTTACATAGGAAATTGTCTGGAGCCACTCAAATATACATATATCTACCAGCCTATCACTCACACTGGTGCTCCTAACCAACCCCTTTACTAGGATCATAAAGCCGCACCTTAAATGATATGTTTTTCACACAGGTGTCAAGGTTGATATATGATTGGTTGGTGAAAAACCTCGTCATACGAGAGAAATGATGGCATTCTATTCAATATCGTCTGGCGTTTTCCGGCGCAATAATGTTCCAAGCGGGATGTGCCATATTTTCTTCCTAGTATGCGCATTATGAGAGGGTTGAAGAGCTCCAATGCTGCTTGGCTTGGGCTTTGCTCGGACGGCTCTACGCTAACCAAAGTCCCCCAGATTTCATCTAGGATGACGAGAGTCTCGCGAAAACAGGATACTAAAATCTGGCCCTTCTTACGCGAGTGCCTCAGCTCCATCGTTAGACGAGATGGAAGAAAGCATTGACCGCATATATGTTTAGCCATTCTTCAAGATCTCTTTGCACAGTGAGTACACTGTGATGTGTCATTTAGGCATGACTAACTACTCAGGCAAAGGGATGACGTGTTTATTGAGTTGATAATAGTTGATAATATAGTCCTAGTGAGAAGAGACACGGAAGTACCCATAATCATGAAAACCTCCTATCAGAACGAGTGTGCGCCAGTAGTGGATTCGATTCATTATCATGTACTCAGTGAAACAGCATCCACTCGGTTTATAGGCCCAGATAACTTTCGCCATGCACGGTAGAGCCTAATCAGATATACATCTGAGACCGACTCCCCCTCCCAAAACAGTCTGTGAGTTGGCCAGGGTTGATTGAGAACAAAACATGAGTTGTTGATCCGTAGCAGGATATCGACCAGCCATTGTACAAGAATTCACTTGAAAGCTGACCAAGATGTAAGACAATATTCTTCAATCCCATGAAACTCTTGCAGAGCAGCGCCTTTCCCTAGTTGCGGTTTCACAGCCAATTGGACGCGTCATCGCTGCAATAGTCACTGTTGCCCACTCCACGGTCGAAACAGCCACCAGCGCAACCTCCCAGATAGGTAATTGAGCCACCAGGATTGCACTGCCAGTAAGTTCCCCACCAGAGGCCTGGGGAATTCGAAAGAAAAACATTGCCCGACGACCGGAGAGTCTGTTGAATAATATCATGATATCCTGCATCAAATGAGCTTTGTTGGCCAATCTAGGGATTGTTTCTGGGTGTCTCACCGGCATCGACCAAAACACTTCCGCAATACTTCAAGCCAGCTGTACACTGGCCAGCGCTTGCAGCATTGGCAAAGACCAGCAAGGTGGCGGTGATGGTAGACGTCAACTTCATGATGAAGGTAGGCTGGAGATGTTATGAAATTTGGACCAAATCGAGTAGAGAGATGTGTAGGTCTGTTGAGCGATGTAGTGCTGTGCTGATTTTTGCGAGTTTGTGTAGACATGTGCCTGCTTTATATCTCATTTTATCTGGGACCGAAAAAGGAATATTTGGGATGCCTGGCATTATAGAAAAAGCAACGTTCAATGGATAGTCCGAACAGCTCCTAGAGTGTCAGGTGGCAACCTCTTGCCACTTGGTTTATGTCACATTACACTATTGATAGTTTTTCTAATGAAGCTCGTTAAGTGTACACGGACACAAGCTGAGCAAGTAACCAGTGTTATATGTTACCATTCTGCATTCACCTATTCGCTTGGAGCTTTCGCGACTGTCCTAGCAAAGCTGAAATAGTGAGAACATAAATCATGGAGATCTCGAGTTGTTCGTATTTCAAGGCAACTCGCCATCATGTGTATACAAATAATCAAGTGAGGGTGGAATGCAGTATAGGGACACCGGAATCAATCTTAATAGAGAAAATTGTCGATCATGGCGCTTTCATGAGAAGTCAAAGCAGCTTTCCGGCCCAAGAAACACCCGAAACCGTCTCGTCCACAATTTGATGAATCATGATCAATTGACAAGGTGGGGCTAAGGCGGGGTTAGCAGCCGATTGAGGATAAGACTTGGCTGTGGTCATGAGGCACACAGCCTTGCAGATTAGGAAGCCAAAAAGTTGGTGATAAACAAAACAGCGATTAACTTCCGGTCCGAGCTTTACTCCGCTGGCTCCAGCGGCGTCCCTTATTTTTATTTCTACTTTTATGATTTAACGTCTTTTGAAGTCACCAGTCTAAGTTGCCCCTATAAATGGAGGCAATAATTGGTACATAGCCTTATTATGACCGCTTCTACTCGAAGAGATCATTTTGATGGGATAGGTGGAAAGGCGAAAACAATTTAAAAATGAAATGTCTAGGCACTGTAGTAGTCGGGGCTGAATCCGAGTTCAGTGAGTAATCTTAACTGCGGCTAAGATCGCTCCACGCCGATCAGCTGAAGAGCTGTGATCGGGTTGACCCAAAAGCTTGAAGCCGCATGTAGAGCTGAGGAAAAGGAAGTCGCCCTTTATCAATAGTTGCCAATAGTCTCAAGGATAGCGTTGCATGTGTTTACCGGACGGTCAACCCAGTAATCCAGCCTAGTATTCCCAACACACCTATTCTCCCTAACGCCTTCAGTAAACATTGTTTGAAGACCAGATCCTATCATGCCAAGTTTATTGATGACTATTATAAGTGCACTGCTGAGCCTCGCATTTCAGTGCCATCACCTGGTTTTTCGCAGAAGTCGAAAATATTTTACAATGGTACTTGTACCCCAATCAAGGTCCATTACTAGTAAACCGGTATACGCCACACATCAATGGGATGGCCGGAATACTGGAGCCGATGCAGGATGGTACGTGACGAAGCCCCAGTAGCGGGCTTGCAGGGTCAGTGAAGTGATTGTCCTCTAAGAAGGTGACATATTCCCTCGATACAAAAGCTCACTGGCCAGTCAAGGACTCATTCGCAGAGATTCGGACACCGTAGCTTCCAGGTTCGTCCGTGGCAAAGATAGTCGAATTTTGTGGTGCCGAATTAGCAACTTGCGCCTACGACTTTCCTTGGTTATAGGAAGACATGCTCATTAGTGTGGTCAGCTCGATAGCCAGTACTGGCATGACTTACCATGCTGCTCGACCACGTCACACAATTTAGCCTCTCGCGAGATGTAGAGAGCAAGATATGGAACGATAAGCCGAAGATGTCGATAAGTCATTGGGTCGTGCAGCCTGCTGATGCATAAGGCTTCAACTAGATTATTGTTGACGGTCTTGCGGTCTGCGCAGCCGGAAAGCAGGGGTAGTACAACAATCAATGTATGACGATTTCTCAATGTAGGGAAAATGTCTCCGTTGCAGACTGATTGGTTGACTAGGACTAACTAGGTTCCTCCGATCAAGCATTTCCAGCCTGTCTCGCACCCCCACGAGACTGTGCCAATCACTATCCTTTGTCAGGTCATAGCTAACATGGCCGCAAAGTAGTGTCGTCATGGCATGATTCGCATTTCAATCACATTTAATAGACAAACATCCCATATGAGGAGTCCTGCCAAATGTTGTAGTTGACGGCTAACCATTCAGACAAAAGGACAACTCCTTACAGATGATGGTCGGTCGACAACTTCTGCACATACTGGCAGACCATCTTATAAGCAATTCGTTATCAGCTCCTTCATTCCTTTGAGCTCTGCTAGATCAGTGTCTGTGCACTTGCCTGCAAGTGGTTTCTCCAGGAGAGCGCTACGACGTCAGCCAAGCTAGCCTTTGTTCGCCTCAACACAACAAACGAGGCTTTCCGTTTATCATCTCATACTTACACACGCCTCGATTCTCGCTTTCATTTATTCTTGATTTATTTCGCATTGATATGTTTCACTGAAAGATTTTATTTCAGTTGCTTTTGTGTACATTAACAAGGCACAGAGAGTATATACATGGCGATAATTTCTCCGATCATTGCCTCTCCAGGAAAACTACCTTGCTTCCATACTCGGTGTCAAAACTATACTGCAACCCCAGATTCATTAGTGTTGCTCCAGAATACGTCTGATCCCCATCGACGGTATAGTCCGCCTTAGGGTCCAACCCCTGCAGCCTGACCCACGGCACGGCATGGTTGACATTCGGCTGGACCTGGAAGTAGAACAGAACAGCCTGTGCGCCATCCTGAGACACAAAGAGTGCGGCAGGCCACTGGGAGTCTTGAGGTAGGCGTAGCCGATACAGATCTCCGTTCAAAATGATAGGGTTCACCTTTTCCGCCAGCGCAAGGAGCTCGGGAACTATTTCGTCCCCTTCCACCGTCGNCGGANCCAGCTCCAAGCCGNAAAGAACCACCCATGC